TTAACTTAATCGACCTCGTGAGGCAACTTAAGTAGATGACCTTAACTTAATCGACCTCGTGAGGCAACTTAAGTAGATGACCTTAACTGAATCGACCTCGTGAGGCAACTTAAGTAGATGACCTTAACTGAATCGACCTGTCCGTCGACTTTTCAATATCAATGCGCTCATCCAAAAATAGAACCACTGCGTTTTTGATCGACTCCCTCCACTCGGGAATTAGAAGCCACTACAATAGAAAAGGGCCACGGATCGGTAACGTAAGACGCTTAGCTAAGCCCAAACCTCCCTCCAGCATTCCCTAAAGCTAAACGTAAACCTCCTCCCTATCAATGGTAGTCACGCCAACTCGAGAAGAAGTAGTAGTTAACCCATTTTTCAGAATTTTCTATATAAGGATAGCACAGGATAGGATAGGGCGCCTCGACTCATTTCTAAGTAATTGATAGCTAATCTACATACAACTAGAGCTATGCAGCATTGGATAACTAATTAAGTACTAGTAACTATTTGCAGAAACAGCGGCAGCTGGCTCCCCTTGAAAGCGGGATGGCTCCCCTTGGAAGCGGGAATCTCAGGATAAGCTATAACTTGATCTCTGAGGATAGGGCGCCTTAGTGGTCCCTGAGAAAAAATCTTAGACTCAAACGAGTCAAGTCAAGACCTATCTACTTCACTTTTTCAACACACGAACGTCTCTCTCAAAAAAAAGGCGCGACTAATCATGAGGCGAGAGGGAGCAGAAAAAACCAAAACTCCTCTTCACTGAGCAACATTATTTTTTCCCTAATAGCTTGCTTGGTGGGCGGATCAGCCTAGGATATGAGGGAATAACTTTTTCCCTAATAGATAGGTTGGAATTATCAGAAAGCCCGAGAGCTAAACTTGATGAACATTACGAAGTACACAATCAACATTAAGAACTACACGATCAACATTGAGAACTACTACTATGTATACAATCAACATTAAGTAGAGATAGTATGTGATACGTTTTCTCCTCTTCATACTCTAGTCTGCGACTATTCGAAAAACTGAAGTAACCGAGTGTCCTAGAAAATACATTCTAAGATATTCGGTTACTTCAGTTAGCTACTCGCTTATTTCCCGATTTCGATTACTCACTACTCTTAACGGTGGCAAAGCAGCTGGACTATCCATTTCCGGGAAGAATTGCACTCCGAAACCTTCGGGAGTCTTGCATTCCATCTCCTGCCCCGCAAGGTATTAGAGGAACAGGAGCAATATTATTTAGTGATAGAAGTAGCAGTAGTAGTGTTGACTGATTGATTGACTGATTGATGTACCTAGCAAGATTGATTGATTGACTGACTGATTTGGTATTACAGGAACAGCAATACTATTTCGGAGAAGGCTTCTCTAGAATTAGAACAACCAGTAGTGTAGTATGAAACGAAAATCAGTTATAATTATCAAGCCCCTCAAGTCGAAAAGTATGATGGTGATAACAAATTAGAGTGATGCAGCAGTAAAGTTAGAGTTTCTAACTCAACACTTCTTACGTGCTCAACACTTCTCACACAGTTCAACATTCATCATAAGTTCAACATTCATCATGTATTTCTCACACAGTTCAACATTCAAAAGAGAAATTTGAAGTAGTGACGAAGAATGTAGTTGATTGATTGATTGATTGATGTGCCTGGCAAGAGGTCGACGCTGAAGAGTTTTTTATTGCTTCTTCTCTTTCTCTTCCTTTTTTGCTCCCCATTTGCATTTTCTTTCATAATTAAATATAGAATTACTGAGTTGACTATTGTATATTCATGATATAGAACTATTAGAAGTACCGTATACAACCATATTGAGCCTTAAAAGTACAGATTAGCAGCGGTAGTATTTCACTATCTCGTGGCTGTGATCCCACCGCCTTTTGTTTCCACTTTTGGAACAAGGTCCAATAAAATAGTACTAGCCTTAAAAAAGGAGACCATGTCGTACACGAAATGAAGCACTTGCATGATATCATTCGCCTGAAAATTGGTGCTGTTATAGAGCTACCGCACTCGCATCCCTGAGGAAGTCCTGACCTGGTCCCTTTTCCCCCTCGAAAAAAGGCCCAAGAATGACATTCAGGATATGGTCCAGCGGTAGCCTTAATGAGGGTGCGCGTGAAGGAGCTTCTTGCTTCTTGTTAAGTACTCCATGCACTGTAGGTGGAGAAGGAAGCAACTCGTATCTACTAGATAGTTACTGTAGGTGTAGAGACAACTCGTATCTACTGTAGGTGTAGAGACAACTCGTATCTACTGTAGGTGTAGAGACAACTCGTATCTACTAGATAGTTAGCAGGTAAGAAGAGGCCAGGGTGAAACTCGATAATGCAGGAGATCCTCAACAGTTACTTGCATCAGGATCTGCAGCATTACAGCGTCAGGGAGAGAAGAAAAAGTGCTCTTCCTCCATCAAGATCAGCAGTGGAGCTTCTGTCTTGACATTGTACATCGATCTTCTGTACATCGATCTGGATTGGTCATTCACAGTGATGTTGGTGTTCTTCTTGCACCAGACCTACTTGTTGCTAAGTTGTGGCTCTGGTGTTTGGCACCAGGTCATGCGGTGTTTGGCACCACCAGGTCATGTTGTACTGCAGAAGATCGATGTACATCGACCAGAAACAGAAAAAGGAAAGCAATCAAATGCTTCAAGTTCAAGGGCCTCACTCAAACCTGGGCGCTAGGTTTTTATTTTTTCCATAGCTTTTTTTTTTTCCATAGAACTACATGCTACCTCCCATTCAACTACTTAAATAACCCCACTTAAAAACTTACATACCGGGGGAGCAAGAAAACCGTATCACAACGACCAAAAGCTACGACTATCGGAGAGAACTATATTGCAATAGTCCCTGAAGAACAACTAAGGCACAACCTAACAATGTAGGGCCCTGTAAGCAAGTGTAACATCCTGCAAGGGTATGACATGCCTGCTCAACGAAAAATGAACTTACTGGAGAAGAGCCTAAACAGCCAGGAAATTAAACAATTAACAAGGTTGTCAACACATCGTAGATCACGTGAGCAGGCCTCCCTAAGACATATATCTCAAACCTGGGCGCTAGGTGCGTCGGAATCATGAGATGTGAAGTGTGGGTCTGCTCGACTACTAATTAAGCGTAGCGGTCGACTACTAATTAAGCGCGCCGTCAGCTCCAGAGGTCTTAGTACCGTCGATCGATTATGCTCATTCACTTTCCTTCTATGTTCCGTCGCAGTGATCCCCCACGGATCGACGACGCGCGTCTTAATCTCTATGAACTAGATCTAGTACACGTATGCACACTCACTCTTACAAGAAGAGGAGACTCGAGCTGAACGCACCAGCATGAGAAGATAGTAGAAGAGATAGCAGAGAAGATAGTAGATTTTTGCCACAGTAGATCTATTGTATGAAAGGACTACCCGATCATCCAGAGAGGAACCCTAGAAGGAGCCCTAAACAGAGCCCTAAGACCTATGAAGACTGAGGGAACTGGAAAAAGGCGCGAAATATTAAATCATAGTGTCACAAACTACAATTAGTATGCTTGGAAATGGAATGGAAAAAGTGAACTGGAAAAAGTGAACGATCATAGGATAGGAGTTTCTACCCTGGGAAGCGTACTGGAGTATTGGACACCCTGACCAATTTCGTCATACAGAACCGCATCCGCTTCATCGACGATGGCAATAGCGGGATGCCTCTCCTTACTTTCCGGGTCAAGAAAAACATTTTTAGAAGAGGTGGGCTTTCTACTTAGACGAGGAAAGTAGGTCAGCTCTTTCTACTGAGAACAGGTGGACTTTCTACTTACAGGTAGTAGAGGGTCTTATTTCTTGTACTTGTTAGAGGACTACAGGTCTTCCTTGTTAGATTCCTAGTGGACTGCCCCTTCTTGTTAGTTACTCTAGAACGAAGAGCTGCATTTAACTAGGAAAGAAAGAAAACGAAGCAGTGGGAGTGGTAGAAGGAGTAGTCCCTGCCTTGTGAAAGCGGGTACTTCATGGGCCTCCAGTGTGTAATTATACTCTTGTCATCTTATGTGTGTAGCCCATCCTCTCTGTATGTTATATGCTAGAAGGTCAGGATGCCTGCTCAGAGTACTGGTCTACATACCAAAAAGAAGGCCCCCCGATCTGCCTTCTTGTACCTTCGAAAGGATTTAGTCTGCCAATAGGCACTACGAAAGAACTTAGTTATATATGTTAGAGACAAAATTTAGGTGGTACTTTTACGGACTGTGACACCCCAGGGCCGTAATATCTTTGTGCCAGTCCAGGGCAACTTTATCCCTTCCTCCTGGTGAGGCCTTTGTGAGTAATTCTTCAGTTAAAGGTTGAACCACTTCATATTCGCCTTACATAGATCGAGTAACTTGACACATTTCCTCTTTAAACGTGTCAAGTGAAGCGCTCAAAAATGAAACGTTTCAAACCTTAACTTAGAGCTGTTGCGGTGCATCGATCCGTCGATCCGAGGTCCGTAGACTCCATAGTAAAAATCTTAAATTGCAAAACTCTATTCGAAGTTTCACTTTCACTCAGGTGCTCAGGGGAGCAGTCTGTCTGGTGCCCACCTTCTGTAACAACTGGCACCAGCCGCGAAAAGGTCCATGATGGGCGACTGTCTACTTACTATATTTCAGACCTAGAAGAGTGCGGCACCTACTAGAAGAGTACACTCATTCATTCATCACGCGGCCGCCAAGGTAGCAGGAGAATGTGTCTACAGCTGCTTACTAACAGGAGTAGAGAAGAGTGATGAGGTGTCAGTCTACTGCCTCTTCTAGTTCTAGGAGAGTGCGACGTGGGCGCCACTCTAAGTGCGACGTCAGTCTACTTTCTTTATAACATCTTTGGCGATATTTCAGTCTACCTGGTACTTTCTTCAGTCTACTACTTTCTGAGTGCGGCTTCCTCACTTTCTTCAGTCATCTATTGCTTTCTCAAAAAAAAATTGAAGTGATCTCAGTCTGCATTCTTCATAAGATCTGAAGTGATCTCGTATGGCGTCAGATGTGTGATAGCATATCTCGTACTCCACAGCGGCGCGGCGTCGTCGCCTTCTACTTCCTTAGCGAGAGAACAACAAGTGAAATATTAAGGGTTTCTTAATCATAGTACCATCCCAAAAGTTCCTTAATTAGATTAGATTAGATTAGATGAGATTCGATGGGATTAGATGAGATTAGATGGGATTAGATGGGATTAGACGAGATTAGATGGAATTAGATGGGATTAGATGAGATTAGACGAGAAAAGATGAGATTAGACGAGAAAAGATGAGATTAGATGAGATTAGATGAGATTAGATGAGATTAGATGAGATTAGATGAGATTAGACGGGATTAGACGAGATTAGATGAGATTATATGAGATTATATGAGATTAGATGAGATTATAGATGAGATTAGATGAGATTAGGCGAGAAAAGATGAGATTAGATGAGATTAGACGAGAAAAGATGAGATTAGATGAGATTAGACGGGATTAGATGAGATTAGATGAGATTAGATGGGATTAGATGAGACTAGATGGGATTGGATGAGATTAGATGAGATTAGGTGAGATTATAGATGAGATTAGATGAGATTATAGATGATATTAGAGATGAGATTAGATGAGATTATAGATGAGATTAGATGAGATTAGATGAGATTAGATGAGATTAGATGAGATTAGATGAGATTAGATGAGATTAGATGAGATTAGATGAGACTAGATGGGATTAGATGAGATTAGATGGGATTAGATGAGATTAGAGGAGATTAGATGAGATTAGATGAGATTAGATGAGATTAGATGAGATTAGATGAGATTAGATGAGATTAGATGAGATTTGATTAGATTTGATTAGACGAGATTAGATGAGATTAGATGGGATTAGATGGGATTAGATGGCATCAGATGGGATAAGATGAGATTAGATGGGACTAGATTAGCCTCAGCCCTACGCCTCAAGCGCCGGATCCCAAAAATACACATACAAGCTCCCAAAAATAAGCTACTCCTGCGCGCTTATTGCGACGCATCCATAAAATACAACCGGTGCTCCATCCACTCCTCATCGTGTGCACGAAGGGCATTCTTTTCCAATCTACTTCCATGTCGCCCTACGTCCGGCAGGGCCATCTTATTGTTGCGTGTTCTTAGAGGATGCTGGCAAATCGTACGAAGCTTGTTGATGTTGCTCTCGTTTTCCAGCTCTACAGAGTGGACAATCATTCGCCTTCTACCCCAATGCAGCGATGTACACCTGACTACGCCAGTGTTCTTAGTTGACGGAGGACTGACTCACTCGCTGACTGACTTACTCACTGAAGATTGGCTCACTCTGATTGACTCATGTGCAACTACTTCCAGTTCTACGGAAGATGACAAAACTTACCCAGCCATGATTCATGACTCTGGGTTCCCCGCCGCAGCCACTTTATAGTTTTTAATAGGCTCACGCGCACAGTGCACGGCATTGAGGAGAATTATCGTAGACAGTTCATTTACATCACCGATACTTCTAGCTGAACCTCAGAGAAAGGGCCTTAAGGTATTTTGGGCTTTGATGTGACCCTTCACTTTCTCGTACAGCTTCTTCGTTGTCGAATGGTAGTCCTGGCGAGCCAACACTTTGTTCGGCGTAATAAATGAACAGGATGGAGTGTAGTGCTGTTCAGCACTCTTTTATTTCAGTCAGTAACTCGCCTGTTTTCAGTTTTCGAGTACATCCACGCAGGATAGGATAGTTGCCTAGAAGGGGAAGACCAGGAGGAACAAGGCTAGAAGGACCTAACTCTAAAAGGAGAAGGACTATAAAAGGAGAAGGCCTCACCTAGAAGGACCAGGGCCGCGACAGTCGTGGAGGAGCAGACGGACGACCTCACTAGAAAATAAATAAAGACCTGAGAAAGATAGAAAAAGAAAACGTCATCGGGGGATAGGATAGTCATAGGATGACACGTCTTGACTGGCCTAGAGTCATAGGATAACACGTCACAGTGATCCTAGGATAGGACACTCTGTAACTAGGAGAGCATATCAATATGTCAATAGTACTACGTCACGTCATAACATAGGACAGGATTGGAAAAGATAAGACACAGGACAGGATAGGATAGCATTCATTCGGATAAGATAAGACACAGGATGGATCCATCTAAAATAGCAGATGGACGAACCCTATTGTTCATGAAGTCGGAACCCTGGCGGTAACATAGTTGTCCTTATTTTTACTGGAGATGAAGAGCTGGTAACAAGCTAGTCTACTACTCTCTACGACTCAAGTCTACTGCTCTCTACGACTCAAGTCAACTACTCTGTACTACTCAAGTCAACTACTCTCTACGACTCAAGTCTACTCTGTACTACTCAAGTCAACTACTCTCTACGACTCAAGTCAACTACGTCAAAAAAAACGTTGCTTTTGCCGTAAAATGACAGCGACAGACACGAGTCTTTTGTTCAGGTTTTTCTGAAGACCTAGGGGTGCGAAAGCAGGTTGGATAATCCCTTCCGGAGCTATGAAATCATAGTAAAAAGTGAGCATCATCGCAAGCAAGCCAGCAATGATCGTCTTGCCTTGTCGTCTATTAGACAAGTAGGGGGATTCATATATTCGCGTCTCAAGTAGTCATCCTAAACTACCGGCAAGGGAAAAGCGAAAATACTCACAACAAATAAGGGACTGACAACAAAAGCCATGCCGTGGCACCTTCCTACAACGCAATAGGAATACAACAAATGATCTCGCACAACGCACGGCGAAACATTTAACTAGCAAGTATCGTGGGCACAACAAAAAAAAGGTCCAGGGTTTGTTTGGACTAGAATGATTCAGACGCATAGCAATCGATTTTTGAAGGAAGGGTCTCAATCTAAATTTTTACGAGAGGTGCGTCTTCTTCTTCTAAGATTTGATTTCTAAGTACTTACAGGGTGGTCAAGGGAAAAGACGAAGCCTCCTCCTATGCTTAGAAAGGAGCTACACTAGAGGGTTAGGTGCGACGTCGTAAACTAGGATAGGATAGAGTGCCTTTGCTAAGTCTTCACGCGAGGTGCCGGGGCTCATATAATACAACTTTCGTGCTGATGTCATGTGATTACTTAAATTTACAGCTCACCCTTAACTGTTGGAACCTGTGCCATGGTCACTCGTCTGGCCCCACCTGCAAGGTCGAGGGATTTTCTCCAGGCTTAGAGCAGCCAATCTTTCCTCCACCTCCTTTAACTCAAAGTCATACAATAAACAAAGGGTACCAAATTGAGTCTCAATTTGTACCAGGATACAAGTGATCATGACAGACTATGTCCCAGGATACAATTGAGAATGTGTACTCTATGTACTCGCATCTTCCTTGAGGAGATTTATGCAACCTCTATTCGGATTGGAGTGGCCCTGCTACGTGAGTGCCCCCGATAGGGCCCTTCGTGGCCACCGTAGAGACAAAATGGCAGACGACTACGAGGTCGCCTCCCACAACAACTGCCCAGCCTAGGAGTGGGCTTATGACCCTTGAAAATATGGCTCACCAACATCTTGCTTCCAACACTGAAAAAGAAGAACTTCCACCAACCTAGCCTCGTCGAGTCCAGTCTTATAAGGAAGAGCCAACAAGTAGGTCCGTCTTTGAAAAATATATAAGCGGATCTTGATGCTTCAACAACTCGATAGCCTTAGCAAGCTTGTGGGCTATCGTTACCTCCTTGCTTGTTTTCCGCTTCCCAGATCTTATCCTTGATAACATCCGACGCGAGCGCGCCCTCTGCTCCCATTAGAACTGTTGGCAGCAACTCTGAAGATGTTGTTCTACTTGTCATCTTCTGTCATCTTCATCATCGTCATAGTCCAAGTCCTTCTCCTGGAGTCTAGATAATATCTATTCAGGTGGGCTGTATCCGGAGTCTGTATGTAAGTAAGATCGCCTCCATGTTGTAATCAGGGACATGTGGTCTTCGGGTGCACCATGTAAGACGCAGGCTATCTTACAGTGAGTTTCAAAGGATTGTAAACTAAGTAGGGACCCCCACTGAGATTGACTACAAGAGAGTCACTGGCACGCACATGTAGTAAATGTAGTCACAGAAATTACTATTGATTAGGATTAATGAAACAAAGAAGCTGTTGAGAGTGCCTCAATTCTGACATAAGCAGCATACTGGCACGCACATGAGTAGTAAATGTAACAAATAGAAGAGCCGCTCACTGCTTTAGCGGTAGCCTTAACAAAAGAAGGACAGTTAAAGCCTGGTTGTACCTGGGAGGAAACTTGAAGGTTTGCCTAGCGCATTCAATCAGTAGCGCCATCCACGGTGGGAGCTCCACCAGGTCTTAGAGTCTAAACAAGTCAAGCTAGTATGTGGTGTGTAAACCAGTACGTTGTGGGGGTTCTATTCTGTGCATCCCTAATAGGTTTGCAGCACCATGAATCGATTGGTAAGGTGGTGGGGTGGTAAGGTGGTGTGTACATAGCAAGTACGGTAGTAACGTATGCGGCGCGTTAGCTCTCTAGAAGATTATTAGGCCAAAGTGGACTCTCGTGGAGGAGGTCTCTAGAAGATTATTGAGGAGGTCGCAGTGGGACAGAAGATATGCAGTGGGAAGAAGAAAATTATTGGTCTCTACAAGATCCTTTGCATCATGGTCGCAGTGGACTCGTGAGCTACTACATATAGACGCAGTGGGCGGCGCAGATGGATGATAATTTAATGACGGCATAGTACACCAAGGACGCTTCTTCAAAGTGGCCTAATTTTTCTAGATAGGCATGGTCTATATTTCTCGATACTCGAAATTTGAGTAGGACTGTGTAAGGGACTTTGCTATCAAGAGTTGCCATCGTAGAGACCGTGGAGAGACGTGGAGACGTCGTCTGACAATGTTTCAAAGATCCAGGCTATTATTTCTATAGTGTAAGCCTGGCTCTATACAGTACACACTCAGCCATTAATACTGGCTCTAATATAAGTACATTCCTATCATAATGGCTCTCTACACTCACAGTCATAATCGAAGAAGTTCTCCAACGCGTCCGCACTTTTCGGTTTGCCCGCATACGTTTGGCAGTTCTGCTGCCACACAGCGGCATCTGGCAAAAAGCGTCTGGTATCCTCCATCTTGAAGATCTGGCTGTAGGAGGCACACCGCATATAAAAGGGAAGATGTTTTTTCTCTTTCTCCCGTCTTGAGGTGGCAGGGGAGAGACTTCTTGCCAGTTTGGGTCCTCAGGGTCCCTTGAACGACGGACCTTCAAAATATATGGGGAAGCCAAGATGTTGCCGACCTCTTCTCTTATTGACATAAAATGGGGGAGAAAAAACGTCATCCAGCATAAAACATGCGCATGTAACGCCCTTTCGCGATATCGTGCTTTTCATTAGATATTGGATGTAAGGACAACGCGAATTACATAGGTGACCTACCTAGGAAAAAACCACGACAAGGACACAGCCTCCATATTACGTAACAAGGACTAGGACAAGAAAAGCACGATAAGAGGTAGCGACTAGTTGTGCTAATAGCGAGTAATAGGCTTTGAAGCAGAGAACTCAGCGCTTGAATCTGACTACAATGCACACCTATCAAAGAGCCGGGACATAATACTCGTGTCCTGGATGCTATCCTGAACAACCTGAGTGACAAGCTGCTCCATCGAGATACTCTTCGGCTTTTCGCTAGTCCCAGCGCCATTTTCGCTTGTGCTTTTATTGGAGCATACCTAAAAACGTCCTGAATTGTGTTGCATCGATAAAACCGATAACAATCGAGACAACCAAGTGCATGATCTTTAACTTACTTTTCCTCTTGAAAGTACATGAACATTTTACTTAGCCTCTCAAGATGAATATGAGTAGTAAGCCATAATTTCAAACTCCATGTTTTTGATACTGCCCAAAACAACCTGTTCGAATGCTTGTGTAGTGCGATCATCTCCAGCATCAGGCTCCAGGTTTTAACGCTTCTAGTTTTATTTCACTATCTATCATGTGTTTGATTTAGATTTACCGGGGGCCTTCCCCTAAATTGCAATCCTTGAGTTGTACTTATTAAGGAGTTGTTCCACAAACCCCTAAATTGCAATCCTTGAGTTGTCCACGTGGAATAGTCTGTAGTAAACTAGCCTTAAAACTTTTTCGCGCCACCGCCACCTACTACATTTTGCTTCTCTCCTTTCGATGGCGGGTCGTATTGCTGCCGGCGCTTCGGTGTCTGAGCTTCAGCCAGCTCCCGTCGTGCTGCCTCGGTCTGCTGTTCTTGAGCAAGATTTTTAGAGCGAGCAGACGCTCTTATTTTGGAACAGAACTGTAGTCTAGTGTGACAAAATTAAATATACTTTGGAATTGGAACAGAGGTTTGTATGCCATAATGCGCTGCCTCGTCTGGGCTTCTGCATGAGCAGCTTCTTCCTCTAGTCTTTTATTGTGAATGGGCTTTTGTTGTCCCACTCTAGCTCGGTCTCTGTCGCTAGCCCTCGGTATTTGAGCTGCATATTTTGCGGCCACTTGTTCGTTACTACAATTAGAGTGAGCGAGCCTCTACTTATTTTCAAAAAAAGGAGCGTGACGGTGATTAATGATTTGCGGTGGAGCAGACCTAACTAGAAAAAACAAAAACCAAGAAAAGATGAAAAAAGCAAAGGTTAGCTAAAAGAAACCCAAAGAGACCAGAATCAATATACTCTCCCTGAACACATTCATGTCGCTGCAATTTCTGGTGAGTCATAAGAGCATCTGACTCAGCTTTCGCCTGATCAGCTAAAAGCTTCGCCCGAACTTCCTCTTTTGCCGCTTGCGTATTACTACCAGCTTGAGCCGTACGATGCGCTGCCTCCTCCTCGTCCCGCTTAAGGTTAGAGCGAGCAAGCCATTAACAACTGCAACAATTGGAAAAGGCGAGCTGGCTTCTCCTCCCCTCCCCTCTCCTGCATTTTTCGGGTGTGCCCCTGGATTGGGTTTGCCGCTACTGCTACTACCAAAGAGAGCAATCAACTACTTCGAAAGAGGAGCGTCGAGTGCCCTTCTGGCCTACTTCTTAACTTGTCAGAAGGAATCCAATACATACTTGCCAGAGGACTTCTAGTTCTTGGAAAGAGTAATTTAAAATCTTAAGCGTGTAGTCTAGTGTGGCAACTCACTGCAATTTTTCTGGTGAGTCATAAGAGCACCTGACTCAGCTTTCGCCTGATCAGCTAAAAGCTTCGCCCGAACTTCCTCTTTTGCCGCTTGCGTATTACTACCAGCTTGAGCCGTACGATGCGCTGCCTCCTCCTCGTCCCGCTTAAGGTTAGAGCGAGCAAGCTATTAACAACTGCAACAATTGGAAAAGGCGAGCTGGCTTCTCCTCCCCTCCCCTCTCCTGCATTTTTCGCGTGTGCCCCTGGATTGGGTTTGCCGCTACTGCTACTACCAAAGAGAGCAATCAACTACTTCGAAAGAGGAGCGTCGAGTGCCCTTCTGGCCTACTTCTTAACTTGTCAGAAGGAATCCAATACATACTTGCCAGAGGACTTCTAGTTCTTGGAAAGAGTAATTTAAAATCTTAAGCGTGTAGTCTAGTGTGGCAACTCACTGCAATTTTTCTGGTGAGTCATAAGAGCACCTGACTCAGCTTTCGCCTGATCAGCTAAAAGCTTCGCCCGAGCTTCCTCATTTTTTGCCGCTTCGCATTACTACCAACCTAAGCTTACAATATCTGTGGTAGAGCTCTAGCTACGAAAGAAAGAGACCCTTGGGAAAAGAAGACGTATAAAAGTGAGAAAAAAACACTACGCTATAGGCTAGGTGTGGCCATAATAGCTTTAGCCTGCGCTGCCGCAATTTTCGCATCAGCCTGCGCTTGTGTCTGCGCCAGCGCTGCCTCCACTTGGGCTGCGTCCTTAGCCTCCCTTTGGGCTATCATTGGAGAGAAAAACGCATCTCATTCTTTCACTACGCATGATAAACAGGCCTCTCTCATTCACTCATTACATGCATTCGTCAGAGAAGAAAACACATGGTAATTTGCCTATACGATGGTGACGATGGCAATTTTGCCTATCCTACCAGAGGTGCTTTAGTGTTCAATCAGTGTTCACAGCGAGCCTACTTTAGAGCTCAGCCTTTGCATTTCCACCCCACATGGCTCCTCCTGTAAATATGACTTGTACTTGCATTTTTTCCCCACAACATCATGCATTCTGTAAATATGACTCGTTACGAGGCATTGGAGCGAAGTCCTTACCCTAAAAGGATAGAAGCATCTAAAACCTTTTCAAAGCAGCTCGAATAGCGAATACATTGGGTGCGGAGGGGCTAATCTAAAATCTGTGAGTGGTGGAGCCAGTCGCCTCACTAGGAGGGGTCGGTTAGGTTGTGAATCCTGCACAACAATTATGAAGGATACAATTTACTGTAAAGGAAGCAAAAGTACCGGGATGGTGGGACTACGTAGCCTACAATATGAGGGAACGGCACCGTTTGCGAAGGAGTGGTGCTGAAACAAAAACTAAGATTCAGAAGAGTGCTGCGACCAACTAGAATAGTAGAAACTGTACTTCATAGTCTCAACTAGGAGCTGCAAAGAGGACGCGCCGAAAGAGCAACTAGACTAGAAAACAACGGAGACGTCCAGTCAGATGAAACAGTTCCCGTCAAGATCCGAAGGTAAGAGGAAGCGTAGACAAGAAGGAAGCTACTTACTTGTTCATTCTCCCTTCCTCTCTCCTCGACACTTTTGCAGGTGCCATCTGTAGAAGTGAGTCCTTTTTGACTGCTGTCTCAGCGTCACGATGTTACCTCACACGCAAGCTATTACTTACGCTAGTACTAGCATCGAAAAGGTCCAGAACTGACTCCGAAAGTGACAACATATTCGAGCGCTACACTTAAACAACAAAAAGAGTAGACTACAGCACAACCGTAACTCTTCTGATCCTTGTCCGTCTTCCTCCAAATCCTTCTCGTTCTCCTCGGGATGCAGCGATTAGACAAGAGATGCGACCTCTTTTACAATTCTCGGCCCCTATGTTCATGCTCATGCTATTGCTTTCTTCACATGCGGATGATTAACCACGCACGCAACCTTGTTCAGACACAAGATCAACTATGAGTCGTACACTAGTAGTTGGCGCTAATATATTATGTAGTAGTAATCGTAGTTTGAAAATCAAAATTGTCGATAACTAGTAGTGGTCGTAGTTTGAAAACTGTCGATAAGAACTAGTAGAGTCGTACGTAGTAAACGACCCATAGTACACTCAATTTCTTCTCCTCTCAACTCTGTTCTAGATCTACACCTATCAAAAGACAAAGTAGATAAGATGACTTTTCTTATAAGGATAGCGTCGACGTCGATACAACATGACTCTTCTTAAGGAGAAGGCTCAAACTCGGCTTCGTTTTCGGGTTTAATCCACTCCGACTCAGCATTTTGTGAAGGAAATCTAAGCACGCCATCGGGCACGCCGTCTCCGTGTCGCTGGAGGATAGCCAGGTTAGGAAACCTTAGAAGGGTCTTGCTTGTGGGTCATAGGGTCGCTATGAGGGTCATAGCTATGTGAGGGTCATAGCTATGTGAGAGTCATAGGGCCGTTGAGGGTCATAGCTATGTGAGAGTCATAGGGTCGTTGAGGGTCATAGTTGTGAGAGTTATAGGGCCGTTGAAGTCATAGTTGTGAGAGTTGTAGGGTCGTTGAGGGTCATAGCTATGTGAGAGTCATAGGGTCGTTGAGGGTCATAGTTGTGAGAGTCATAGGGCTGTTGAAGTCATAGTTGTGAGAGTTATAGGGTCGCTGAGGGTCATAGTTGTGAGATTCATAGGGTCGTTGAGGGTCATAGCTATGTGAGAGTCATAGGGTCGTTGAGGGTCATAGTTGTGAGAGTCATAGGGCCGTTGAAGTCATAGTTGTGAGAGTTATAGGGTCGCTGAGGGTCATAGTTGTGAGATTCATAGGGTCGTTGAGGGTCATGGTTGTGAGGGTCAACATAGTTGTGAGAGTCATAGGGCCGTTGATGGTCATAGTTGTGAGGGTCAACATAGTTGTGAGAGTCATCGGGTCGCTGATGGTCATAGTTGTGAGGGTCATAGGCTATGGGAAACCTGAGAGAGCCAGGGCGATTATAGAGAGGCTCATAGTTGTTGTGAGCAGGGTCATAGGTAATCCAGGGTCGACATAGGTAATCTAGGGTCGTCATAGTTTTGAGTAAGGGCTAGCCAGTATCGTGACAGCCTTTTTAGAAGAGGGCTGAGTCATAGCTTCAGTCATAGCTTCTTTAGGGCGCTCATAGTAAGGAGTGAGAGTCGTCATATCTTAGAAGCGGACTATTAGATAGAGTCGTGGTTGTGATATGTTGAGCGAGGATATCTCAGAATAGACTCTCGTCACTAAGAACGACGAGAGTTACTATCTTGATAGAGGACGGTGGGATACCATTGTTCTTCTACTTCTGGTAGTGACTTGACTAGAGCATTCTACTTCAATTATTTATCATAACACGTTTGCATGCTGGTAGATGATTGATCCCTTCTGGAAAATACCGCCGAAGAGCGCAAGCGCCCTCCATCCAGTCTCTGGATTCGGTCACTGAATGGTGCCACTGATTGAGCATTGTGCCACTGATTTGTGCCACGGGATAGAGGTACTATTTAGTACTAAGTTGTTACTGCGGCAGTGTTATACCTGGTGTCTGTCCTTCGTGGGCTGCTCAATCAGTGCTGCTATCGTAAATGTAGGCAGTGCTTCCATCCGGGAGCTTTTTCTTATCGCTAAACGACTTGGGAAGCTGCAAATTTGCCTCCTTCAGTGATTAGCGTTTAACTTGGTAGAATTTGCGTCTTTCTCCGTGGTTTCTATTTTTGAACAGTCTGAATTTGCGTCTGTCCTCTCGATTAAAAAGTACTCTATCAAAAAAAGTACTCGGAAGGAGAAAATCAACTTTTGATGAATACTAATACGCTTGAATGAAACACACACACATGTAGTTAAAACAAGCAGTCTCAGTCATTGTCAACATTCTCTCTACTTAGTACTACAATTTGAATGCAGTTGCTCTCTGTCCTCGATTATCAACAAAGTCCGAATAGGCCTCGATGAATGGAGGAAGTTTAAGCTAGTACTGATGAGTTTCCACTCTCTTCTTCTTAAGATGAGGTCTCTAGGAAGATTTAGGATTATAATGTGAATTCTCTTCTTAAGATGATCTTATAACAAGGTTTAGGATTATAATATGGAGTCGATGAGTTTCTACATTAAGATGATTTTAACATTAACAAGATTTAGGATTACAATTCCACCGATTGAGGAGATTTTAATCTTCTTCTTAAGATGATTTTCCGCTTGTCCCACTTGAACTGGCGTGAAGCCATGGTATTTCTTCGTTAGCTACTGGCGTTTTCAGGACAACATTGGGAGCCTCCTCTCCAACTCGTTGCACCGCCGCAAGTGTTGGCCACATTAGAAACAATTTCTAGAAACGCAACTTCTAGGAAACGCAAGCGGGCGTGATGTCATTTGTCTCCGATTTGACCTGCCAAATCAACGCCGAGGCCAGACCCTAGGGAACTAAGTAGAAACAATTTCTAGAAACACAAGGAGAAATACGACTAAAAACGCGACGAAGTCAGGCATAACAAGTTCTTATGCAGGTAGATGATTGAACCTCTTTCGAAAGTGCCACCAAGAAGCGCTAACGTTAGAAGATCATCCTGGAATCGTCCATCTTGATGAAGCATCTTGGTAAGTAAGTAAACGTAAGTAAGGGCCATAATATAGTAAGGGACATAATATAGTAAGGGACATATAGTAAGGGACATATAGTAAGGGACATATAGTAAGGGCACTCCTGTATTAAGGGAAATATAGGACCAAGATGCTCTTCAAAGTGGGAGATTCCCGGAAACCTTAACAGCGCCTGCCATCCTGTCTGCGCATTCTCGAAGGGATGGCTGCCGTCCTCAAGCGAAGCGGCCGTTAGTGCTACCCCTAACCCATCCTGTGAGCAAATCCCTATAAAATACTCACCCCAGTACTTGCCTCAGCACGGCCCGAGAATCGGCGAGGCACTACCAGCGCAGTACTTTAGCAGGACCCACGTGGAGTCGGGTTTTATGGAGCCGTAAGACAAGCTTGAACCCCCTTGGCATTCCCTTTCGCTTCTTCTTTGGCAATCTTAGAGAACTAGAAAGGGTGAGCGAGTGAATGAATGGCATAGAAAGAGAACATCCTAGAAAAGAACTAGAGTAGGCACCGGAACCGCATGCACAAAGCGCTCAAGTAACTGTACAGCGCGAAAAAACTAGAAAGTTGAACTAGAAAGTTGAACTAGAAAGTTGAACTAGAAAGTTGAACTAGAAAGTTGAATTAGAAAGTTGAACTAGAAAGAGAGCAAGGACATGGACGAGTACTTCTCTACTCTAGGAGAGAAAAGGAGGAGGAACTAGACTTAAGTGCGGGGTTAACATTGAGGGACTGCGTCCTCTTTACAGAACTAGAAGGACAGAGAGAAAGGAAGAAAATTTGAAGGAGGAGAAGTAATTAAAGGAGAAGAAGTCGAATTAAACAAGAAAAACAAGTAAAGGCTAAGTGAGTTTAGAAAATGCTGTTGCGAATTCTTGGTAGGCGCAGAATATTTGTCCTCTAGGATAGGATATGATATGATAGGATAGGGCCCCTTTGCTTCGTTCTCACGGATAAGTGCTACAGTGTGTAGAAGAAGCTAGAAACTCTAGTCCCTTCTGTCTCTTGTTGTCTAGAAGCTAGAGACTCCGGTCGTCACTTCGGTCTCTTATTCATAACTGTGTCTCGGCAAACGAAGCTGCAGCATCCTGCGATGAGGATTCAGGTCCTCCCTGTGGTGCTGCTCCTGCTGCTTCAGCGTTCTTCTGGGCACCTAGTAGTAGATTGGATCCTCCCTGTGGTGCTGCTCCTGCTGAACTACTAACACTCTACTTCTACTAGTACTAGCATTACAAAAATATGAAATACCCTTGACTTCTTGTCGTATCATACGATGAAGCACTCCGTTAAAAAATTTTACCTACTAAATGCTTGTCCTCCCTGTGGTGCTGCTCCTGCACTTCTGCTAGTACATGCGTACTTCTACTAGTATCAGGTGGATGCGAATACAACTTCTACAATAGTACCTCGAACAAGTTCTACTTACTCACTATCAGCTGGATCTGGGTGCGGTTATGAATTCCCCAAACATACTATCAGGTGGATGCGGTTATGAATTCTTAAATGAAAGCAGGTGGACTTCAACAATATAACGACTATCAGGATGCGAAAACTATTCTACAATACCTCGAAAAATAGGAACAATACTGTAACTTCTGCCACAATACCCAATAGTACCTCCAAAAATCTGCGCAAAAGCCGAATGCGGATGGGCGGAACCACTAATTTGCTCAAATATGTTCCCCTTTGGCTCTCAGATTAGAGAGACTTTTCAGAATATCAACTACTACTAGTTCATCAGTCTAGTTTTATTTTCTCTATTTCACGAAAATACAAATAGTTGTACGCTCACCAAATTATAGCGATAGAAAAAATATTCACTCGAATCGAACAACATGTGGGTTCAGCCAGATATGATTGAACGATGGATACTTAAATATTCACTTTCTAACTCCTTGTCAGATGTTGCTATGCCGTAAAAAAAGGTCTTCCTCAAGAAACGAGGAGTCCAAATCCAATTCTCCCACCTTTTCACCTTCTTCTAAGAAGTTTGCTCCTCCAAGTCTTGCATGTTTTTCACCTGGTCCTGCGTCTTCAGACTTTGATGATGTTGTATTTGTTGTACTTTCATCATCAGTATCCACTGAAGATGAAGATGTACGAGATGCCCATCTTGCGGCCCAGTGCCACTTTTTCTGCAACAAAGACCAGTGTTTATCGCTGAAGCGTGCTCGTATTGCCTCAATTTCATGATCGTATGGAGCATTCCCCAGGCGTCCGCATTCGTTAGAAGTGGACGATTCTAAGGAGACTCCTACTGCTAGTCATGCACGCATTTGAAAACTAGACGGCGATCAATCAGAAGACTAAGACAGAATCTTCTCTTGAATAAGACCAAGCACTAAGATGTCATGTGATGACACCAAATGAATATCCTCCCAAGAACATCATGCTACTTCTCAATCTCAAGAAGAACAACAGCAGGCTGGGACCCAATCACTATGATCACATGAACTATTATAATCAGCCAACGTGATCTTAACTTCGGGATAAAAGCTCCACACGGGAGTCGCCACGTCTGCTCGCACAACAGTTTTTGACGAGGATGAAGACGTCGTTGTTGATCCAGACCAGTTGATGTAGCCTCCTCCACTTGATGTAGAATTAGCAGCTGGTGCAAGTTGACCATTCTAAAAAGGCCCACATCTATTCAAGTATATGCGAGTTTCCTGCTTCAAAACTTGTTCATAGATTTATGCTCCGTCCATTCTATACCTGAAGAGAAGCATAAATCTTCTATGACCAGAAGTCATCTAAGTACCTATTCGATTAAGGTCGACTTCGATTAAGGTCGACTTCCAACCCTTAATAGAAGTAGATGCTTGAACGTTCGTTTTTCTCCACGTGCTCGTACTATTGAACGGATCCACGAGTAGAGGATCCGCACTTGTACCCTTCGCTGCGCGAGGAGTGCACTTCCCTCTAGAACTACCACGCAGATTTCCTATGAAAGTAGGAGAAAGTGCTGTACTCATGCTCAAGAAAGCAGATCAAGATGGAACCTGCCTAGTTTCTTGAGTACGAGTAATTCAAATTTTTTCCTTGTCATATTTCCTGAATCTTCTTCCGCACACTCAAGGGCATGGACGCCCAACCCCAAGAGAGAACTCGTCGATAGGATCATATGAGCTCCAAGTTGAAGTACTATCTTCTTCTTCGCTGAGGAAAACAACATGCTGCAGATGTTGCTCTTCCTGCATAAAAAGTTGTTCTTCCTGCTGGACATGTTGTTCTTCGCGCTGAAGATGTTATTCTTCGTGATGAAGACGTGACTCCTGTTCCTCCTAAGCATCTCGTTGCTAAGCACTTCGTTGCTAAGCACTTCGTTGTCAAGCACTTCGTTGCTAAGCACTTCGTTGCTAAGCACTTCGTTGTCAAGCACTTCGTTGTCAAGCACTTTGTTGTCAAGCATCTCGTTGCTAAGCACTTCGTTGTCAAGCATCTCGTTGCTAAGCACTTTGTTGTCAAGCATCTCGTTGCTAAGCACTTCGTTGCTAAGCATCTCGTTGCTAAGCATCTCGTTGCTAAGCATTTCGTTGCTAAGCATCTCGTTGTCAAGCACCATTTCGCTCTTCCTGCTCTTCTCCACCTCAACGATAGTGCTATACTTCTCGAAGATGCACTTGCCAAAAAGCTCCCTCAACAAGCTCTGTATCTTCTCTCGAGTAGTACTACACACGCCACTTGCTCTTCTAATCATATGATCCTTTCCCGCCCTTCCCTTGATTTCAGTCCCAGCCCTAGAGGTAGGAGAAGTACTTCTTCTAGACGTGCAAGTACTTCTAGACGTGCAAGTAGTTCTAGACGTGCAAGTACTTCTAGACGTGCAACTCACTCTCGAGCACGACCCCCTCCGCGAAGCTCTACCTGCTTCGTCACTAGGCTCTTTTTGAGACGAGGTAGTTGACGATGTTGTGAGTGACCACCTAGAAGTGACCACAACTTGAACTTTCTGCAGCTGCTCCTCGTAGTCACCTTTACCGGGTGATGATTCAGTTGACTCTCTTGCACCATCCAGACAGGCGGATGTTGAAGCACCTGCTCCATCGTCCCCCATCGCGGATGGCAACATCGTGAGACTCGCCTCGTGTTGAGAACAAGTTGAAGATGAGAATGATCTAGCTCTACCTGCTTCGTCACAAGATGTTGACCATCTACTTCTACCCTCTCCAGGAGACGGTTCACCACCTACAAAGGTGGATGAAGCACCACCTACAACGGTGGATGAAGCACCATCGTCCCCCATTGCGGATCGTTGAGCATATATGGAGGATGAAGCACCTCCGTCGTCGGGTGGCGGTGGCATCATCGTCGGAGATTCGAGCGTGTCGATACACCTAGTACTCCACACAATACCGAGTGCACGGTAGCCAGGGTTTAGACCCTGAGATCTAACCAAGAGAACCACTTCTCCCAGGTAATATCATGGTCGCTATGGAACAAATGAGAAGATTTATCTAGGGAGGTTCTGGTCCTCGAGGACTCGAAAACATAAAAAGAAGCCTCATCTTCATCATTTACAGGTCAAAACTACTCTTAGACGAGATACAATGTTGTGTATGGGGGTAAGGGCATGTTGTATTGTGGTGGACGTGTAGTGAGTGGAAGCTACTACTTCCTTAGTTCCTCAATTACTCTCCTGCAAATTATAGCAAGAACTGTCATTCTTCTTCTCTTGCCTTTTCCTCATGCCTCTCCATATTCTTCTCAGTTCTCTCCATATTCTTCTCAGTTCTCTCCATATTCTTCTCAGTGCTCTCAATAAAAGACACCCTTTCCATAGACACTCGGTACAGCTGTAGATAGATAGAACCGACTTTCGTGAGGACAGGATGTTCAAGGACACACGCGATTTGTCATAAACTTTAGACTGGACACCCGATTTGGGTTCGTAGACAGAAATCTCCTTGCTGCTCCTCCGGCCCATCTGCCAACAGATTTATCACATCGTTTAAGTATGTAGCGAACAAAAGTATGATCAAGCAGCCGCTGTCACCTCCAGATTCTGATATTACTAGCACTCGGATGTTGACTGTGTCATCGATCTACTGAGATCTGCTTAGACTTTTACCTATTATTATTGCCTCGTCGGTCCCTGAGCCTTTTTATTCGAGGCACTCAAGTAGAGAGAAGGATCGCGCCGCCACGTTCTCCGACCCACAATCGGCGGTTGGCTCACTTCTGATAGAAGCCGATGCTGTCGAAAAAGCAGAGTTTTACTATCCGGTGGCGTCTCTTCGAGTAACTCGTTGCGCCAGTCCGCGTAATAGGCATGCACTTTCTTCTCCATATCCTCGACACTAGTTGTGGAGCTAAGGTTTGCGGTAAACTCCATGGAGGGGTCCATCGAAGACATGCGATCGTTATCCGGCCTGAAGTCGCACGGCGGGGCCATGTTGAGTTGTGCTTCTCCTTCTTGTTGTTTAATAGGTTCTTTTTCTTTGTTACCCTTACCTTTCCTCGTGCTACTACTCATTGTAGAAGTGCCTGGTTGAAAATGTTTATCTTGACTCCTACGAGGACCTTCAACAATATTATCAGCGTATTCCTTTTTAATAGCCTCAAAAACTCCCGTCCGTCTCAGCGTTGGTTCGGACGGTCTCCGTGATCTCCTGTAGTCCAATCCCTGGGAGTCGCTGGATACACCTGCACTTCGCATCAAAGAATCTTGCTTCGCATCCAATGGGCGAGAAGGGAACTTACTTGTTCCACCTCCTGCTCCAGGTGCACTTGTTGTTGTTCCAGGAGGAGCCTTGTTTCCACCTCCAGTACCTCCAGGTGAACCTTCAACAGAAGCCTTTGTCCCAGAAGCCCCAGCTTCAGAAGAGACGTTTTGTGTCACTTTTTTGGCCGTCTGCGTCAGCACACTTCCACCTCCTGCTCCCGTTTTCGACAGGAGGCCCTGTGCCCAGCCTCGTTTTATCGGTGAAGGAGACTTCTCAAGACCCACTGGGTACAATTTTCGGTCGATCTGCGGGACATATCCTGGGGGTAAATGTCCCGACAACAAGCCATCCGACAGCAGCTGTCCGCCAGGGAGCAAATGCTTGTCCACTGGGATGCCGCCATGCGCTTCCTTGATGTCATCTTCAGATTTCCAAGTACCCTGTAACTGACCCTCCCCTTCTACAGCTTCGAAATATTTTTCCTGCTTCAAAGGAAAACTCGCGTCGTCCCAAACGGTATCCCCTGTGGCTTGGTTCTGCCAATAATGAAAGCCTGGATGCCTCCGCGATTCTTTTTTCACCCACAAGTTCCTCTTAGGGAATCCCCTCTGCTCATCCTCTGGGGGATGCAGCATAAACGAAGCCACAGTTACGGGCGCACCGGGGAACTGCGTTTTACTTGTATTGGGAATTGTGGTAGGCAATTTCGAGTGCTCAATTTTTGTGAAATATCGATTCTTTTCCTCGTATGCATCAAACCATTTATTAGAACTCACTACAATCCACCTTTTCTCTCATCTGCTTCCGTTTTTCTACTTGGAAACAGCTCACAGATGATGGGCTAAGAGATAGACTATAAGTGAGGTCATAAATTTACGGGTGTGCGTGTCACGTACTACGTCTGGGGTTTGCACTATTCGCAAACCTTGCGCAGGCCAGACTGGCGGACCTAGTTTGGGAGGCTCGCGCGTAGGGTGCAACGCATGTGTGTCCATTAACCGGTTCTGTGGCTCGTAGGTGTTATCTGAAGAATGCTCTGCTTGAAGAAACGGAACTGCCTTCATGTACCACCGCTCAGACTTGTCTTCATTGTACTTTACTTTTTCCATGAACATATTCTCCAGAGCCATGTCCCTCTCCAACACTAGCCTTTCTTTTTCCTCCATCACGCCCAACTCCTGTTGTAGCCGAAGATAAGTCGGCAATCGCTCGTATACGTCGCTAGCTTGTGCAGCCTGTTTCGCAGTTACATTGGCCGCTTCGTTGCCGATGGCTTTCCAGACTGGACGAAGGGTGAAAGTGTCGATGAAAGCATCTGTAATTTTCCGGTTCCAAGCTCGTTGCTCCGCTAGGCGGTCCTCGTCTTCTTTTTTCCTTCGTCGTTTTTTGGCTAGCATAGCCTCGACAAGAGCATCCTGGGAGAAACGCTGGCCAGCCTTCGTACGCTCTTGGGCGCGCTTTGCCTGGTGAAAGCGAGAGCGAAGAGGAACATATATTGGAATTTGGTTCATGAGATGAACTTCTACCGTAACCATCTAGTACCTAGTCGTGAGTGTAGAGATCTTTTTCTGAGTTGCGAAGAAACTCGTATTAGGAAAAGGACGCTATAATTTGATTCTGTGGGCTGTGGCAAAAAAGTAGCATCAACTCCTTCGCATTTTCCATCATTTGCAAGAACCTTACTACTTATGTCATAGTACCAACAGCTCCTTCGCATTTTCCATCATTTGCAGTCGCATTTTCCGTTGAGCCGCACGTACCGCATCTTCGTTACCTTTGGCTACCTTGTCCTGCTCTGCTTGCTCCCACTTCATGCGGGCTTCATTCACCTGCTTCCGATTAGAGGAGGACGAGAACAAAGACTAATCGGACGAGAACAAAGACAAGTTAATAACATCTTCAAGTCTTGGTCATCATTTTCAAAATTCAAAAAAAAAGCCTTCCTCCACTTACGGGCCTTCCTCCATTTACTACTGCTCTATGAATTATGTTGTGATGAATACACTTCTTCTATGCATTGCAACTAGAAGAGTTCCTCAAGAGGACTAAAATAAAGAACTGCAGATGCTTCCTGTTCTTTTCGAAGTAAATGAAAAGTTAATCAACCTGATGTGCCTTAACTTGTAATCTCTGTTGCCTGGTTTGATATTCCAGATGCGGTTGCTGCAGGATACGCAATACGATGTCTTTTTCCATGCTGAATGTCTCATACTCTGGATCCCCCGGTCGTGGACACCCAAACCTATTGGCTCTTTTCTCCTGTTGTTGCACACGCAAAGCTTCCTCTAAAGCTTGCGCTTCGAGTAAACGTTTTTCTTCGGCCAAGGCTTCGAGGTCGAGCTCTTCCTCCTCTTCTTCCTCGTCGTCAAGATCTTCCTTCGCGTCCTTGTTGCCTTCCTCATCCTCGTCATCGGTGAACCCCATGCCAGCCATCAGCTTGGCCAGGGCGTCACCATCTTCAGAACCGGACATCTTGGGTACTCTAGTCACTGTGACTCAGGCACAGTCCTCTCAGTCAGTTTTTTGAAAAATAATTCACATCCAGCGAAGAAGTCACGAGTTCTTATAACTGTGGTTTTTAGTACTTACTATACCAACGTCGCGCCTGTCTCTTCCAAATCGCAGGCAAGCAAGCAGCACAGAGGGAAGCAGAACCGCAGCGGTCAGGAACAGGTCATGGATCTTTTCTTTTAAAGTTCTTTACCAATCGAAAATATACAGTCTCAAGCGAACAGTACTGATGAATCAAGGACTCAGTTTTTGAACTATAGATCAAGGAATCTCACGAGCTAACCAACTACCATCAAATACAGAAGGAATCAGGCACTGCATAATATACATTTAGGACAGCGTAGTTTTTTCAGACCCTGAGTGATCGATGAAAGTCGAATAACAAGAAGAAGTCAGAGTGATCAATGAAAGTCATACAACCGGGGGAAAAAATGGGACGGAAGTAATGAAGAACATGGGGACCTGCACGAAAAGATGAAGAAAAAAAATGGAAAACAACAGGATAGCAAATGGGATAGGGCACTGCCATCTGTATCTCATCCTATTTGCTCTCTCGAATACCGAATCTATGAATCCAGATTCTATTGCGTGGTGTTGATGTAATTTCAGTTGCTTCGAGGCATTGGTCACTCTCTATCTACTCAGTAGAACAGAACCCAATAGCGAATGATCTCTCCCTCTCATGGATTGACAGATAGGATCCACAGTCAGCACCAGGGACACTGAATTTATTGACTAGGTATCGCTCGTGTTGGAGCAATTCCTTCTCTGTCTTTTCACACTGGTTCTTTAACTCAAATCAGACAGATACACTTGATGAAGAATTTTTGTGATTCTCAAAAGTCCACAACACAATCATGTCATCGCGGTAAACTGCGATTTCGGTCCATTTGGTTCTGCTTTTTGCAAAAAAAAACTGAGAGGACTAAAACCATTGTTAGGGGTTGAAAGTTGGCATCTCTAGCCCGCATATCTATGGCTTTCCTACTTGGAGAAACCATAGAGATGCTCATAGAGATGTCAACTTTCAAGCCTTAACATTGTAAGCGTCTCCAAGGTACCCAGAGTTCGATTCACAAGCGATTCCTGCGCACGGCAAGCGATATCATTGACAAAAAACATGCGCGAAACTATTCTGCTATTATTGTAACATCAGCCAACTATTTCTCACTCTTTGCCCAAATATCCAATGAGGAATGCGTAAGCAATTGACAAAAACAAACCAAGTGATGTTGTTGCGTCGACGAAAGAAAACCCAAAAAAACTACAACGAATGAAACCAATCATTGATAAATTCAAGAACTTTCCAATTTATTTCGCTGACCGAAGGTTGTCAAACCAGGCTACTTTAGCTGGCACTTGTGAGAGTTTGACGCCGTCACTTCTCGGAATAAAAGCTGACGAAGCTCCAGACTGCTTCATGAACTCAAGCTGTTCCCGCTGCGGCGCCTGCTTTAGAGGTTGCGAAATTGCACTCTTCAGCCCATCCTTGGCCACGGCTTCCTTGACCACTAGAAAACAACAAGCCAAGGATGATATTGTGAAGAAAGCCCAATGTGAAAACCCTTAACTGCTGTTTCAAGTACTCGAGTTGTTCACGCTGAGTCAAAATGGCTTTCAAATCGGCCTCCGTTTCCCGACCCCTGTCCTGCAACTCCACAAACCGGTCTTTCAGCGTCTCATATTCCCGCTCAAGCAGCTCCTGACTCCGTCGCAGGTCTAGAATTTCTCCCTCTTTCTCCCGGAGTTGCTCCACCAGATAGTGCCGAGGCTTGGGTATGAAAGGGGAGGAGGAAGCACAAGGGAAGGGGGAGTGGAGAATCAGGATTATGTCGAGTATATGTTGTCGAGTATTTTTACATATTTGTGGGGAGAAACGAATTATTGCCAGTATAACAATTAGAAGTAGGTAAACACTTGTTCTTCAACATTGTTCATATCATCATGCCACTCTTTTGCTTGTTCAGCCAGCATCTTGGCCTTTTGCAACGCCCGCACTTTTTCTCGCTCAACTTCAAGCTCCCCTCGCGCGTCAGCTAACTCCTTGCCTTTCCTTTGCAGTTGCTGCGCCAACAATAAGCTTTCTTGGATTCGACGACGGGCCTGAGACACAAGAGAGGAGGGTGTCATAAAAAGTAAGGGTGGTGTCTGCTAAGGGCACCATGGCGGGACCACCGCGTCCGGTGGATGACAACAAGAAGTTGGATCCCATCATTTGAGGTGTGACCAGCAATAGGTCAAACTTCACTGCATCCTATTTCAAAGCACAACTCATTCTACCTGACTCGGTGCTCCACTCAGCGTTGCTCCCAGAATCAGTGCGTCTTCCACGCTACTTGGCACTGCATTACCTATGGCGGGATCCCGATACTCGCTGATGTCTTTTAGGGCGCCATTGAGCTCTAACTCCATATCCGTATAGCTCTTCAACTGCTCCTTCAGGGTAACGTTCTCCATCTCGGTCCCTGCATGCTCCTTCTTCAACCGCACCTCCATCTCATAGTATTCTTTGGTCAGGATCCGAATGAAAGGGAACGGCCAAGCACGATGGAGAGGTATCATTTGCTAACAAACTGGTAGGAGGACTTCTACTTACTCACTAACTTCGATTCTAGGACGAGATTTTTTGAGGAGGACTTCTACTTACTCAACACTAACCTCGATTCTAGGACTTGTTCATAAGTTCTACTTTCTTCTTCAGGACCTCATTTTCCTGCGTTTCTTTGTTCAACGCCTGAAGTGTTTCTTCGTATGAGAGGCTGTACTTCTCCACCTCAAAATGCCTCAATCTGGATACTCCTTTCAGCTCCGTGATCTCGTTGCTCAGGCGACTAGCGTTAGATGGTCGAGGGTGTGTTTGATTCTGTCTGAGCTCCACTAAGGCCGATATTAAATGACAAAATTATACTTTAACTTACAAAACTTATAGCCATAATATGTGTGTTCGTCAACGAGACCTGCAATTCTTGTGATCGATGCTCCTCGTCTTGCAGTTTTCTAGAGAGTCTTTCCCTTTCGCCCTCCACGTAGTGCACGCGCTCCTTGAGTAGTGCAACCTCTTTCGCGTGCAATTTTGGTTTAGAGGTGATGGTATATGACCAGTCGCAAAATGATCGTATTGCAAGGAAACTGCTTGACCAAGCCCACGGCGTTGAGAATGCCATTGAACTACTCGAAAAACTGAAGTAAGCGAGTAACAGACGAGAATAACCGAGACACTGACGAGAAGGAGGAGTAGCCTTGTTGTTAAGCTACGCCCCATATTTCAGTCAGTAACTCGGTTATTTCAGTGCAGAGGTCAATACAGTGCATAGGTTAATATTTCAGTGCTTCTCAGCGTTGTCTGTAGTTCAATGGCATTCTCAACGCCGTCCTTGGGCTTGGTTAAGCAGTATTCTTGTACTATTGGAAGGACAACGTTGAGAAGCACCCAAGAAAGAGCACAGTAAAAAGCCATAACAACAAGATTCGACCGTATTCTGCCCACATCCATCTCCATCTGCTCCTTTAGTCTACTCACCTCTGCATCGATCCTCTCTTGCAAGTCCAAAGTGTCTTTGCCTTTCTCCAATTCGAATTTTCGTACTAAATCTCTTTTCTTCTCCTTCGCAGAGTCCAACCTACTCAGCGTCGCATCCAAGTCGCCCTGCAACTTCTCATTGGCGATTTCTAGCAGGCTCACCTGTTTCACTAGACTGCTTTCTTGCTGTTGTTAGAGGGAGATGGAGAAAATGCAGCTCGCCGAATGTTGAAGACCATCTTCCGAGTTGTGTCTTCATTTTCCTCTACTTATTTTCTTCTCGATTTTTTTATTTCAGATGGCTCATTTGGGGATGAAGGTGCATTTCCGAGACCCATAATGTTGAGACAAGCACAATTTCGTGTCCAACTCATTCGCCTTCTCCTGATTCTTCACCACGTCGATCTGAGCTTCTGCCAGTCTAGACTCCAACTTCGCAGCCTCTCGCTTTGAGGCATGCAGGTCATCCTCTAACCTCCTAGTGTTCTGCTCTAGTTGTGCCAGGACGCGCGACCTTGATTCCACAGAGTCCTTACTTTGTTGCAACGAAGAGAGTTCTTCAGTCAGTTTTGTGATCTGAGCACTAGACTGTTCGCGGAGTAAGGCGTAGTCGGCTTGAAGACCATCGCGGCTCTGCTCTAGACGAGCTAAACCGGCTTCCTGCGTGGGTTGTTAAGATTGTGGTGTCGATCTCAAAAGTTGTTACTTTATTAGTTGACAATGGCTATAACTATTTGGGTTTGGGTAGTTCCTCGTTCACCATTTTCATTTTGTAACAAAGTACTCATTGACTCAATGATTCTGAGACATAAAAAGGTACCGTTCGCTCCAGCTTCAGCAGTGTCTCCTGCTTAGCCGTCTGCGCCTCCTCTTTTTCTTTGACTTAGAGATGCGGTTCTTAGTATGTTCATGTTCATGCTATTGCTTGTACATGAGGACTTCCACCCATGCAAGCATTCTGTAAAGAGGAACCTGCGTAAGGCCTCTTAGTGTTCTAGAAAGACTATTTGACTCATGTTGAACATCCACCTTTCTTAACTTTCCAAGGCTTGTATCCTCTTTTCCCGGTCCTTTTTCACGTTATGCACCTTCAACAGGACATATTCTCGCAGACTAAGCGCCTCCTCCTTCCGTGATCGCAGCTCCTCGTAGTTCTTTTCACCTGGTGGAACATGTTGTAGTAGTCCAACTCAATGTCCATACTACATCCGAACCACCATATATTTTGGTAGTTGGAAACTTTCTCAGTCGAATTTAGACAAAGTAAATGAAATAGAAATTAGCTCTAAGTACTTACTTCTATGGTATGGGACAGCGATACGTGTGGAAAATAGGAACAAATCTTAGTACTTAAACTAAAATCCCCCAGCGATATCTTGATCGACTGCAAGTCCTTGGCCATATCGTAGTGCGTGAGCAGCTTGCGATCCATTTCCTGCTTGAGGGTAGCCACGGCTTCTGCATGCATTTTCCTCTCCTTCTCCAGCTCATTTTTATGCACCCACCTTTGATGTTCCAACTGCACCTCCAATGCTGTCCTTTCCACCTCATTCCTTCGAATAGCTTCTTCAGGCTGTAGGGTGAGCTGAAAACTCAGGTCTTCTAGCAGTTTTTTCCTGGTGCCACCTCCGCCTACGTCTTCGCCCGATGCTTTCGAAATGGAGGGGGATGAAAGAAAAAGGGAGGTGATATTTGTGGAGTGTGGAGGGTGAACTTCATCGTAATACTGATCATGTATCATGTGCATCGTAGACAGAACAAGGTGATGTGAAGTAGAGAGATCAACTTTGAGTTGAGGGATCCTAGCGCAAGTGCCATATCTTTCCTCCTCCTCCTGCGTTTCGCTGCATCAATACCCCTCCCGCACCTTCCGACGCCCTCGCCAGAGCAGCATCGATTTCCGCAGAGAGGTTATCCTCTTCATCTGTTTCGGCATCCAGTTTACCTAAGCTACTGTGGCTTTCGACGCCTACGGAACTGATGTCGTCCGCAATGGGCGACACAGCACCGAAATCTTGAGGCCCATCCATTTTTTGTACAGCTGCTCTCACTCGTCCGTAGCTCCTAAAATAAAGAACTTTATTTTTCGGTAGCAAAGTAGAAGCCGTGATTTTTTTGACCGTGGTTGAGCATGAAGCCTTTTTTTATGGAGAAGTTCAAGTTCCTGCTACAAAACTAAGCAGCAAGTCCATTTTTTCCGAGCGTGTGCTTGTGCCAACAAAATAACAACATATGAAACGCAGTTTTTCAGAGAGCCATTTTGAGATGAGGCGTTTCTTGCAAGAACAGTTCTAGCTGTGACACGCGAGACGCGTAAACGAAATCAGCCGCAACTCATTCGAGAAGGCAATTTTTTGCGGTGAATCCCAATCGAGGGCTCCGCGTATACTGACGTGTCATGAGCTTCATACCCAAGTCATAAAAAGAATTTGACTCATCTCACGTCTAAAATACAGAACCAGCAACAGGCTTTTCCAGTATCCGCAACGCTTTGTCAACATCCGCATCTGTGAGACCAAAAGCCATATCCACTCTCAAAAATCTTTCCTTTTCTATCGAAGGCTGAGACGGTACCGCGACATCCACATGTTCTGGCATATATGATACCAAATCAGCGTCGTCTAGAACCACATATGAAAACGACCTCGATCTACTTTTACTATATGCTTTATTTTCCAACCATAGCGCAATTTCTGCTGGACGCTGCCGTACATCAGCACCAGCCAAAATCGGAGTAGCATCTTGAATCTCCAGTCCGTATTTCGCTAGCTCCCGCTTTGCACATTCGAGAGACCACGGCTTTTCACGCCAGGTTGAAATCAGTACGATGTGAACCTCTACTTCTTCCTTGTTTCTGCTCTTTTGCCCTGCCTCGACTACCAACCGCTGCAGACACTGCAAATTCTTTTCGCAAAACTCACCAGAAAGTGCGGTATAAGAATCGAACTTTTTATCCTTCGAGTTCTCCTGTAACTCCTCTACCAAAAATCCGTTTCCCAATTCCTCTCGATGCAGTAATGCTTCCACAGGAGTGCCAACAGGCAAATGATTTCCTCCTAGAGGATGCAAAACGCCATCAATGTCGAGGAATAAAATGACCTCTTTTACAGCTTCTTTTATGTCTTTCTGCATGTTGTTTAATTACTTGCACTTGATTTGTCTATTCGAAAAACTGAAATAAGCGAGTAACTACTTAAAATATAGGGGAGGTACTAAAGGAAGAGGAATGTAGCCAAGACTCTCTTATTTCAGTCAGTAGCTCGCTTATTTTGAGTTTTCGAATTCTGTATGCGTGAAAATGGAAGGTCTTTTTGGAGATGCGTTTCTACACGAGTGGAACTACCTGGGTGGGAATCTAGAATCAAGTAGGTCTTTTGTTCCTCTTTTTTATACTTACACGAGAGGGTCTGTGGTCATCGTCCGTAGTCGGTCTTTTCTTCTTGACAGATGACTCTTCGACCGAAAAGAACAGGCCCTTTATGTAGGTCCCGGAGCCGTCGTCACCGGAGAAGCAGGTTGTCTCAGGTCTATGCCCATGGTCGTTCCAATGTCAATTCAGTCTCCAAAATCTTAGATTCTCAAGAAGTCGTTTGATGTGCGAGTCAAGAACAATCCATAGTATGGTATGTTCGAATATGCCGCGAAATATCGTAAAAGAACTCAGTAGGAGTATGAAGTATCATGTCATGCAAAAAATTGAAGCTCCCCCGTATGTTTGTTGTTTACATCAGAGTAACTTACTTACAAACATGCGGTATCGATTCTCGTCGCAAAAACTGTCAATATTCAATCATTATATGTGTCACCCTTCGTGCGATGATCAAAAAAACCTGTCCAAAATTTGTAGAGATTTTTTCGCATAGACATATGTGAACAATATATATAAGATTAAGCGGGATTCATCGATGACATGAATCCGCAAACAAAGGCGATAAAAGGTAGCACTCCATAAGCAAAAATGCCGCGTTCATGCTATGGTAACTATCTATGGTAACGAAGACGAGATAACCAATTTTACATCAAACTCGCCAGCGTTGACGCAACCTTACCAGCTCCAACTGCGTCAGCTGTAGTTCCGCAAGCCCTTAGCACAGATTCTGGTGGAGCGATTTTGCTGTAGCTCTCCACAGCTCCTGCTTCCCAAGCGAGTTCGAGTTCTAATGTCGGTGCAGTGCTGGTGGAGGGACCTGTGAGGGGAGGTTTAAAAAGATCGAGTTCGAGTTCTAATGTCGGTGTAGTGGCGGAAACACCTGTGGGGGTGGTGAATAATTGGAAAATAAGGAGACGACTGACCCTGTAATTCTTGAAGTCTTGATGTAGTTCAACGACATTGTTAATTCAACATGAATTGATTGCACGACTGTGACAGTTTCCTGCTTGCAAAGTGGTTAAAGGGTACCAAATTAGACGTTGTAAACTTGTTTCACCATCCAAAACTCAAACTTGTTTCATGATCATGACGTTGTACTATATAGGAACAACTTGTTACAACAGTCAGTTGTACCTCCATTCCGCTCTCCACCCTCTCTCTGCAGAACGATCTTTGTGCGATTTCCACTCGCCAGCAACGTCGGCCCAGGTAGCGCACGTACTCCCACTAGCTCCCCAGCATAAGTGTGAGTGTTTTCTCTGTCGAAGGGACTCAAACAACATGACCAGCGTCGGGACCTAGAGTTTCGGGCACACGCACGACTCGGCGTTTCTAAACGCAGAGAGAACCGAACGACGTCCTCCGGCCTGCACTCGAATCGAAGCGCGTCTTCGCCTGTGCGTGATTGGCAAAGGAAGTTTCGATTGCTTGATTGGCAATGAACTACTTACACAAGAAGCCATGAGAGAGAAATGTGATTCTTCAAGAGTCCTGTTGCGAAGAGAAGCAGAACTTTCATACAACATAGCCAACTTAATCAAATCATTCATAATAGCAGTCATAACAACCAGCAAACCTGCAATAGCAGGACGCGAAAGCGGCTGGCAGACTCCCGCTACAGTAACATCGCCCGATTGAATTCTACTCCCTTCAGGCGCAACGCTCGCGATACGCACGCTTAAGACCATGTTGAGATATTGTTGGTTGACTCGAGAATCAAAATGGGTTTCAATGCATATAGGGTTTTATCTTGGATACTTCTCATCAACCGTGATGGGCCAGGTCCTACTAATCTCCTTTTTTGTGCACAACCACAAGTTGTCGCATTTTATAAAGTTCCGCCGCTCTATTTCCTCTTCATTTCTTTTCCAGTATTCCCTTTTTACTTGTGCTTTTTGAATTATTTATTGCTCTCATCTGTCTGTTTGTACCTTTTTTTTTTCATGGGACGGACCGGAATATCGGACAAATTGAACAGGCCACTGCGTCCAAGTCTAGCTATTGAAAGTTTAGCTTTGCAAAGCAAATGCAGTCCTGCAACAGCAGGCGCAGGTTCTTTCTTCTATCGATAACACACCTAGTAGTTACATTCATCTCTGTTGTCTGGTTGTGCGCGTATACCTCGTAATTTCTACTTAATTTGTTCTTATTGAGTTGTATTCGTATCGCAAACAAATTTAAGAGCTCTGAAGAACATGTGTGATGTAATGGGAATTAAACACTTTCACTTTTTCTTGATTGTTTTTCGTGGTAGTCGGTTTCGCAGTATACTGAGAATTCTGAAGTTTTGGAATCTTACAGTGCGTAGTTCTGTTATAATGTAATCCTAATCCTCCTCTTTTGTTCACCTCCTCCTCCTTCTTAGATGATGAACTATCGACACCTCCAGCCCTTAGATGAACAAAGCCGCAAACTCTTCGTAGCATAGTTTTCCATCGCCGTCCTTATCGAGCTCTTCGACTAGTCGGTCGATTTTTATTGTCATACCGAACTCCTCCTTCACTACTGCTACCAACCTTTTCTGTTCCACAAAGCCCGTCTTATCTTCGTTGCCGCCTGTAGATTCGTGAGAAGTAGGAGATCGATTGAGAGTAGAGGTAGTTCTCCTGTAGTTTGTATAGTGGTCATTGGTCGTAAAGCCTACTTTTGTTCCTACCCTATGGGCATCTAAATCTCTTACAGTAGCACGGGATAAGCCTAGAATTGTAGAGATGAAAACTAACCGGTTGTTTTACTTAGTGCTTTGAGCGCCGTAATGCCAGTAGTAGTTGTACCTAATGCCACGAAAGCATCGATGGTGTCAAGTTCGTCTTCGAGTGCAACGTTAACCCCTCTCTGCTTTTCGAATGCTCGTAAGAACTCCGCAAATTCTGAAGGTGGGAAGCACAAAAATCAAATCAAAATGTTCTAGGCGATCTTTACTTCAATTGTCTTCGTTCTCTGAACAAAGTAGTCACACATCATCATCAACGAAAACCTCAGAGAACTCCACGAAAAAATGTCCAGTATACCTATTTCCCCTGTCCCATCCTCGTCAACATCAGCCATAAATCGGAAGAGCTCTTCCTCTGTCAAACTCTCCCCAATCGACTCCAGGAGGAGCTTCATTTCTGCGTGGTAGGTTGTTTTGATAAGCTGTCGGATGAATTGATGTGAGCTCAATGTATTTTTTGGTGGAAACATGATGATCGTAGTTTCACGAAAGTGGTAGAAGATGAATTCTATCATCCTTGCATCCTAGATCATTTCAACCAAAACGACCTCTACACAACCACAAGAACGTAATCTGATTTCCTCAAAATCACGATAAAAGCAACAATACCTTGTGTATCGATGGTTCCACTCCCGTCCGCATCGAATGTGTTGAATGCCTCCCGGCATTTTTGGATAAAGGCTTCTTCCAGCACCATTTTGTTTTACCTCATCTCCTATGAGAATAAAAGGTCTATAAAAGGTTTTTGTGGACGTTGTGGAAGTAGGTTGTAACGAGAGCATGATGGAGGTGTGCAGAGTGTTTGTGGAAGTAGGTTGTAACGAGAGAACGATGGAGGTGTGCAGAGTTATTATGGGTGCGCAAAAATTGTCGAAGCGGATGACGTGTCAGGATAACGGGTCATCGATCGTATCAGAGTAAGAAAGAGATTACTTGAGCAAAGGACGATGCAGAGGAAAATTACATCGAGAGGAAAATAACAACGTGGAGGCTTTTGCGGAGGGCGAAGTCGGGAGGTGCTAGGAGCCGAGGTTTTCTTCAGGGAAAGAAGGCGAGAGTAGAGGAGGCATAGCCTGTTTCTCTATGTTGACTTTCCGACGATGCCGTAGCTTCGCTCTATTTTCTCTATGCTGCTCACTGACGTCTTCTCAACGCTCGTGAACGACTAGACATTCAGATACGACGAAAAGACGTGAAAGAAATAGGATAGGATAGGAGCTGGCTCGCCTCGAGGAGGTGGGCATTCACGACTATGAAAAATAGCAAATGGAAAATACGTTTCAAACACATCCAACTCGCTTTTGTCGAATCGAGTGAACACAAAATTCCTCCTCCTAAGAGTAGGCTGTTGACGACGACATTAAGTTGCTAGACCATTCATGAAGAAGTTGAACAAGTATGCTAGGTACAAAGCTGTAAAAGTCAATGTGAGTCGTAACGCCCGCATTCGGAGCGATTTTCGAATATCTGTTTCTGTGTGTGCCTTTTTCGATACAGGATAAGATTCTAAATGGTTGATAAGAACTACTAAATGTGTGACAATGAACATGATACAGAACGACCTCCCGTCAATTTTTTATACAAAAATCAAAATTTAGTGATGCGAGTACATGACTGCTCGCTGAGAGAGAGGTCTTCTTCACGATCCATTTCGATGTGTTTTTAGCGCCGTTGCAGACATATCTTTTTTGAAAATATGCGTTAGTGCTTACTCTGTTTTTGATGTTGCGATGTATTCTAACTCTATGTCGAAGTGTCTCTCAATTGATGTTTCGGCTTATTTTTCTTGGTGTCTTCGCTGCTAGGCTAACTTATTGTATTGATGAATTACGCTCCTGCATTCTATGGTTTGTTTTGATTGTAATTCATGTTCGATGGTTGAGAATTCCAACATCTAGCAAAGTGAGGCTATTGTGTGTCTCTACTAAGTTGGTACTGGACGTCAATAAACTGAAACAACTCATACAACAAGCACGACTAGGCCCCGTTCTTCATTTACTTACATTTTCATTACACTACGAGTCTATCTTCATCCTAATGACAAAGACTCTCTTAGGCGATCTGCGTACCGCGTTCGAACTCGCACTTCTCCTCGGTTCCATCGGGTTCTTTGATAACGCCCTTTCCGTGCTGCACACCTTCTTCCCAGGGTCCGATGTAAGCATAGCCATCCGGCCAGGTCATGGTGCCTGTAAGTGACATGTTGGTGGTGGTAATGGATTTGCGATTGGATGGGGTGATTGATAGCCGTAGGATATAATGAGATAGGATAGGATAGGATAGGATAGGACAGGATACAGGATAGGACAGGATACAGGATAGGACAGGATACAGGATAGGATACAGGATGGGATAGGATAGGATAGGATAGGATAGGATAGGATAGGATAGGATAGGATAGGATCTGATAGGATAGACCAAACTAGAGAGGAAATGTGATCGTACCATCTTACATCGAGCTAGATAGGCTTGACCAATGTCTCAAACCAAACTAGATAGCTAACATTCCATACGATCTAGCTTTAAACGAATCATCAAAAATAACAATCCCAGAATAATCTAGTTGTGACACTTTTACGTTACTAAGTGAGAAGTGGTTTCCCATTTGGTTCATCTGGATGCAACCGGGCTCATATGGATTAAAATTGAATTAAAACGAGATAAAATCAAAAATTTTGAAAATTCGCATCTTCTATTCAATATGCGTGCAATTGTGCTCACATGGATTAAAATTGAATTAAAACGAGATAAAATCAAAAATTTTGCAAGTGACATGTTGGTGGTGGTGATTGATAGGGGTGATTGATAGCCGGAGGATAGGATGAGATAGGATAGGATAGCTGTCCTCTTTCATTTCAACATTCAATCTTTTAATGATTGAATTAGAATTACATCAAGCCACAAACAAAAGAAATCGTGGTCAACTACCCCAGAAAATCTTCATACCTAAATTTCTATAATCAGAGGACATAATAGTACCAGTTCCATGCTTGCGGTCCTTGAAAAAGTAACCCTCATAGACCTTTCCATCTGCCCACTCGTATCTCCCATAGCCGTGCTTCACATTATCCTTGAAGGCGCCAGTAAATGTGCAGGAGTGCGAGTAATAGGTACCATTACCCTCAATGTTGTCCGCGACGAAGTTACCTTGAATGGTTGCGATGAGAGGTAGGTGGTGATGGGTGGTGGTGCATGACCTTACTTCGTGATGGACGACAGAGATGCATTGGTGAGTGTGAAAGCATGGATGAGTGAAAGAGAGAGAGGATAATATCAAAGCTTCTTTCTACGACATTGATGCACCAAGAAATCTTTCCAAAGTGATGCGAGGAGCTGGTGCTCCAATAGAAAGTGAGGTTGGGTTAGGTTGTGAATCCTGCACATCGAGCACCAAGTGAACAACCAACAACACAGTACCTTCATAATAGCTCCCATCGTGCCATGTGTATTTTCCCTTGCCCTCCTTCTTTCCGTATTTGTACTGACCCACATAGCTTGAGCCGTCGTTGATCCAGGTCTCTGTACCCTGGCCGTGCTTGAAATCATCCTCCCACTGACCTACGTACCTGTGGTTGTTGTGGAATTTTGCGATCTAATGGAGGGTACTAATTTCAGACAACCAAGAGGGTACTACTTCGGTGACAATCACTGCACCTCACGCATCGTCTATGTACTCACCAAAGCATCTTTTGAACCAAAAGCAAAACAAAAATTTCAATTTTTACCCTGACTACCCATAGCCTTGAAGGCTCTTCCGACACAAAACAAAATGAAAATGAATTACTCTGACTCTCCATCCTTGAATGTTCCAACACCATGGGCCTTGCCGTCGACCCAGTCACCCTCGTAAGACGTCCTTCCATCTGGGTAGGTGTAGACACCCTTTCCGTGTCTTACGATGCCATCTGAGTAGGAGAGTGGTTGTTTGTAGGTGAGGATAGATTGATGTTATACAATGAGTGCTCTAGCTTGTGACTTGTGCGGAGGTACCCACGAATAAGGAAACTTACTTTTCTCTAAGCCTGTGCTTGTCAAATAGGAGTGAACCAGGAGTAGCCTACCTCCACCATTTGCGTGTAAAAAGAAGCAACTGACAAGTACCTTTTGTTTCACCCTTGTAGGTTGATCCATCCTCGAGGACCTTGGTGACTGTTTTTATATTCGGCGTCTTCAGGTCGGCCTTGCTGGCCGAGCCGCAGTCTGAGCAAGCGTTTCCCATCGCAACTTAAGGGCAGACAGGATGTTCAAGAAAGGAAAATTATATATTGTAGGAGATCTTGTTCAGTGACTCTGGTATTAATCTGAATTGGATATTTTTGGAATGTATGTTCTTCATGAATCCTGTGAAGCGTGGAAATGTATTGAAATTCAAATTGATTTCTCCTTTTCAACTCTGGTGGAGTAATCAAAGCACAAAAGCGGAAAAACCAAAATGCGTTGGGGGAAATTTGAAACCAAAGGGTATGCCTGCGGGAAATGATCCATTAGCAACAAGAATTGATGAGTGTTTTTGTTTTCACATTTTGCGTCGCTCAATTTTTTCTCTTACCCATCCGTTGAGTAGAACCGAGTCACCTTATCGAGGACAGGATCTAGAAGGACTTCTATCATTCGCCACTCCGTGTCAGAACATCATCGTCTACAACAGAATGCATTGACAGCAGTGCCGCGCTTTGTTTCCTCGTATACAGAAACAGTGTCCGAAATACTCTCCTAGTGCTAGTGGAGGACAGACTACAATCATAGACTTCTCTCGTGCACAGATAATCATAGTATTCTCTCCCAGATGCCTCTTACACAACACGTCTCAACATCAGGCCCTCACGCTCAGTTTCTCTAGTGTCTACTGTCTAGTTCGAACACGGACCATAAAAGAATCGCCCGAGTTCCATAACGCACGTTAAAGTAATCATGATTCGGTGCTCCTCTCTGCAGCAAGCGTTTTCTTCTCTTTGCGCTGGTCATATGTCTAAGCAGGGAAAGTAGTAGAGGTCGAGATTAAAATGGGAACGGGGGCCTCCCCTGGGACACCGTGTTCTATCCAGCCTCCCCTCTCATCGCGTCGCCTGTCTGCTCCACTGACCCCGCCTGCTCTGCTTCTGCCAGTGACGCACCTGTCACCCCATGGACTGCATTTTCGAAACCAACGAAAGAGTCTCTGCCTGCTTCGTTTCCAAAGTAGTGCTCTGGGGGAAAAAGCTCGCCAGGATCCTCTTCGTCCTCCGTCATAGGCTCATTTTTCTCCACTTGGTAGTCTAGAGGCTTGTAGAATCTCCACTGCTGGTAGGCTTCGTCGAAAATGACTCTGCGCAAGTTGTCCACATGCACGTTTTCATCGGCTACGTAGAACCGTTTGTCCCCAGACTTGGTGCCCCAGAAGATCTGAAACACTCCTGTTCTCTGGAACCCGCTATTGAAATACACTTCATCGGAGACAGCGACGGGAAAAGCGTAATAATGCACGTGTTGTCCTTGGTCTGCAGCGGCGCCTTTCCCAGGATCGTCTAGCTTGACAAACACTATAGGCATCAAGGAGTCGTGCCGATCTCTTATCCAGTACTGTGGCCTGCCATGGGTGTCTTCTTCGATAAACACCTTTCCCAAGTCTTCGTCTTCCACGTAGAAGAGCTTTTGCCCTTCTTCATCCCAAGTAATGAAAATCATATTGTGTTCGTGGCCAAGAACCTCGATCTCCGCATCGACAAAATAGGCATTGTTTCCGGCACGATCCTTGGTGACATAGATACGACCTTCCTGGACGTCGTCGACATAGAAGCGCTTTTTTCCATCAACGAAGAAGAATTTCACTTTGCGCATGCGACCGCTGTGTTGAAGTTGATGATGAAAGCACTAGCTATGATGAAAAAAAAAGACCCATTGAAATGGACCAAGGCGTCGAGCCTTGTACACATTGAGATGGACCAAGGCGTGGTCGAGCCTTGTTTTGTATCGACGCGTTCCCTTAAACAATCACACTGGCCTTAGAATTCAAGAAACGATGGATTCTTCTATGAAAAAAAGACCATAAGAGCCACCAAGAAACCTCAGAGGACATCAAACTACAAAAATAGCAGAGTACTACATGTACGGAGGAATGAACAATTGATTTTGATAAGAAGCCACAAGTGATTACTAAAGCGAGTAAACTACTAAGATGTTGGAGAGTGAAGAAATATACGCATCGATGAATTCTGGATAAGTGCGTCGCACTCCTTGGACTTGGTTGCGGAAGTCGTTCGGGTCTGTGACCAGCCCTCTTCGGGTCAAACTAACGACCTTGTTCCCCTGTTCAGGAGCACAACAAAAGCAGACGCTGGCAAATAAACCACCCTGACCCTTGGCAGACTTCTTCGGCTTCCCTTTTGGCGGCATTTTTTGATAATGAGCTTACTTAGATGCAGCGTAGGTTACTTAGATGTAAGGATAAGCCCGAATTTGATTAAGATCAACAAGCAATAGATGAAACGATTTATCAAGTATTCAGACGAAGTTAACCGGATCTACTGAATAGACAGTACGAACGAACCACTATTCAGAACATCACTAATATGCGCTTTAGGCACGTACAACGGGGTACTGCTGAACTGCGCCTAGGGCGCTCATTCACTGTACGAAGTCACTCCCAAGAGGGATCATGATATTTTTAGGGGGAACATGGGCATAGATGCCTGCAAATTATATAATTTTGTACAATTTAATAACCTCAGCCAGTCCATGCTTTCGTCAACAGAAGCACATCCATATCTCTCATAATACACAGATTCAAGTCCACGTCCAGAGCAACTCTCGGTGACAGATGCGATTTTCATTAGAACACGTTTTATACTAGATTATTGTGGCGTTGGAGTATGGTTTTGCAAAACTTAATGAAGTCTCTCCACCCTCAAACGCTCCTCATCAACTAAGTACTACTATTCATGATTCAGACAACATAGATTCAGTATCGTTTAGCAATTTTCACTCGCAGAAACAGATTGGTTTCCCTCGACCGCGACAGAGAGATACATGAACAAATTTACTTTAATCTGGACTTTGCAGAGTTCGCCTGCACGAGCTGGCCACTGAAAGAGGCGTGGTTGATACGTTTCACAGACAACAGACGAAAAAGGAGAGTTATTTTGTAAAACCAAGCTGAATTCAAAAAAAGTAAAACTTCGGCTCAAGACTAAGTTTTGACAGCCACTTGTTTGCACTCACTTCCATTTTCTTGGAAAATTTGTTTTAGTTTGCTCTGCTGCTCAGAAAGCAGTGACCGGTCACCCAAATCAATGTAGAAACGTGTTTGCCATTCGAGGGCTACTCGTGCGCTGCAGTTTCGAAGCTCCATATCCGGAAGGTACATAGACATGGAGGACACTGCTGATTCATCGGCCGGGCAGATGTTTTGAATAATTGCCGATCTTGGAATCACCCAGATTCCGTCCACATTCGAAGTCCTGGTTGCACCATGGAAAATGACAAGAAAGTCGACACAATGAATGTTTTTCCTCTTGCCTCCAAAAATGAATCCTGGGCAGCGAGCAGTCTCAAGATGCGCGCGAAAAGCGCCATACCTCTTCAGCGACTCAGCTTCTCGATCGTCGGACGTTGATTTTCGATGCTTTACCCGATAGTCTGACGTAGCTTTTCGATGCAGCACTCGATATGGACCAACGAAACTGTTGTAGGGACCAGCTGCCGTCTGTTCGGCCGAGGAAAACTCGAACGTCAATCCCGCAGGCTCATAGAAGTCTTCCCGGATACGCATTAAAGCCTCACAGCGAGCACGAGTTTCGACGCCTGCCATTAATGCAGTGATACTTTGCGAAAGGGACATCCTGAAACAGTTCGGGCTATTCCAGTGTTCGTGTAGCATCTTCCTCAACTCTTCGGCGGAAGTCGTCGCGCCTTTGGATACTGCAACATTTGCAGGTCTTCGTGGCTGCGCAACTGACCACGCCAACGGAGTTGACATAAATTTTCGATCATCTGGAACCACACAGATCAGCGGAAAATATCGAGATGCAGCGGCCGTGGCAAGCCCAAGCTGCGAGTTGGAGGTGTTGCCGTCGGAAGGACTAGGCTTCGACGCACCCATGCAGGTGGCATCTGTCAGCGTACGCCGCGAAACACGACTGTTCTTGTCACGACACCGCCAGAACACGTAGTGCTGATCGTCTGGAGGCGAACCCCCAGCTCCACCCTTTGCAGACCGTAACAGAAGAGGCGACCATGAATCTGCGCATTCACTTTCGCTGAAATCAGAATTCCTGATGCGGTAAAGCAAAGGAGCTCGACAAGAAATTGGTAATAACCGGAAGTCTACTATTGGCTTCGACCGTGCCCTCGAGTAAGGGGGGTCTTGACGCATCTCCTCGAGAAAGAAGTCGACAGCGGCGACTCGCTGCGCGTAGCGCTCCTGTCCCGGGAATGCCTGTGGCACATTTTCCTGCAGTCCGGGGTGTTTCAGCCGCTTTCGCCCATAGCCGAGAAAGTCGCGGAAACCGACCCATCCACAGCCACTGTAAATGCGCTGCGGATTCGTCGGAACAGGGAGCCCCCAACGTTCTACTACATCGGCCTTGTTATTCTTGACCCATTTCCACCACTCTTCCACGCTCTGTAGATTTTCCGCCCGCACGACATTGCGGGCTTCAGAGAATGGTAAGAAGCATGTCGGACGGCGCCCTGTGCGTCCACGTAACGCATTTTTCATTGGAGCCACGACATGGCCATTTGTCACAGCCATAGTTTTTATGCGCCATCTGTCATATCATACACTCCTTTGTTGTAAACCTCGATGCCTACCTAAAAGTGTCATTGCTAAGGCCATACCACACAGCTTTTACCGACAGTTCCTTTTTTTGTCTATGTGGAAGCATCATGCGCCTTTGTCTCGTGAACTCTGACAGAGATTCATTAACCTCATGAAACACATCTCATGATCATGACAACAAATTCCTTTGCGACACATTGTCGTCGATATGTTCTTTATCAGTAAAGTGAGAGGCGGGTTCAGGGAGTGAGGAAAAATTAGGTTCGTGAAAAGAACAGGGACTACAGGGAGTCATCATTTGTCAAGCAGAAGCAACATCACCACGAGCTCTCGCAGCCCATAACCACAACCCTTGTGGTGGAGCTCGTTCCGGTTTTTTCGTATGGTTTTCAGGCTTCTTATATTCCCTTGTATCCTCTGCGTGAAAAAGACGCCATAGCAGTTCGTCTCTACTGGTTTCCGTAGCAACACTCTCATCATGTTCAGCACCAATCTCTATCTCCAACGATTCCTCTATAATATGACCAACCAATCGTCTGACCATGTGCCGTAGGAAACCATCGGCTGTGAAACGGAACTCGTAGAATAAAGGCTTAGAGCTAGCGGACTCAACTTCGTTACAACCCCCACGAGGCTGGACAACAGAGCTTTCTGTGGAACAGGTAGAGGCTGGTGAGGGGCACTGCTCTTGTTGCATGTGTTGAGAAGCAGTATTTGTAGCGTCTGGTACTTGTTTCTGTGGCTTCTCGAGAATGTGCCGAGTGATAGAAGGTATGTGATCTTCTCCTTCTTCTTCTATCTGGACAAGCAGTCGCGGCAACTGTGCTTCAGAACTTTCTTTGACTGTTGCAGTCAACAAAGTCCGCACTCGACCAGACTCAGGCAGGTTGTCGCAACGGGTCGAAAAAAGAGCAAAGTCGCGAGTACCACGTAGACTTTGTGCTGCTGCGTTTGCTTTGTCTAGACTTAGAGAAAATCTTGAAGCGCTCTGCGGCCATGCCCAGCATCCTCTAGAATCTGAGACTTTCTTCGAGGCTGAGCCGTTCCGACCATCAGGAACTTTGATAAAATAGCGATACTCCTTCGTGGTCGTAGTTTGAGCATCAACTTCGTTGCTGGTGTCCTGCGCATCGTCGGCTTCATCCTTGCCTGTAAAACTCCGACACAGACTAGGCACTCCATTCAACCATACATCTTTCGGTGCAGTCGCTTTTAGCCTGCGTTCTAGTTTTCGCAGTAAGCCTTCTTCTTCCTCTTTAGGAGAGGCTACTGAGTCGCTCGACTCCTTCTCCTCCACGGCTACTCCATCCACTCCGGCAAACGCTTTAGCCAACGTCTCGAGGTTAAACGCCAAGCCAGGCCTTGCGGGAAAGACGTGCACATTCAGAGAGCAAAGGTGTGAGCGCGCGTGCACTCCCTTGTCGGTCCTGGACGTGCCGACCACGCCTGACACCGGACCTAGACTGAAGGCCTCTTGGTTCGAAAACACCTCTTTGATGCCACGATGTAGCCACAGGTCAATGACCGTTTGGACAGCTGGCTGCGAGGACAGGTCAGCACCTGTACTACGTATTGGATAAGGCTTATGTGAGTTTGCTGGTGCTCTTTCTTCTTCCACCCCTTCCCGACACTCCACATCAACCTTCTGGCATTTTGCTGCTCCCTCGTCTTCCACCGCTTCCCGACACTCCACATCAACCTTCTGGCATTTTGCTGCTCCCTCATCTTCCACAGCTTCCCGACACTCCACATCAACATCAGCTAGCTTCTCATCCCTCCCAACACTGTCTAAATTCGCAGTACATTCCCACGCAACATGCCCCGGCGCCTCACAAATGAAGCAGACGTGTCTCGCGCTGCATTTTTTCCTTCGGCAACCCCGTCGCTTGTTCCAAGCGAAGCAGACGTCATTTGCGGCTTTCCGTTTGCGAACCGCGGTTGTTTGGTCTAGCAAAGTGCTCTGTGCCTGAAAACCACAGAAGCGGTCGCCATAGTATCCTACATCAAACCAGAACTTGACACGCATTATTTAAGATGGTCTGTCGAAGACAGGAAAAACATGATACCTAAATCTAATTCGTCTCGTTGCTACTACTGCTGCCACCACCCCTAGCCTAATTGACCTGCAAATAAAGATGGGAGCAAAGCACGCTGACTAAAACAAATTAGGCAATTATAAGAGAATCAGAATCAATCGATCACATCACTGATCCGCATCCAGTCTGCTTACACCATCAAGCCAGAGAGAACGATCTGAGGCGGGATCTTCATGATGGATTGTTCTGATCTTCCTGCGAGTCTACTAAGATCTTCCAAAGTCATACGGGATGAGGGCAAGAAAGGAAGGGCACCCTGTTGACACCAGAACTTTTTTCTTCTGTCGCAGAGGAGAAGTAGTCTTTGGCAGCTGTATGCGTTTTTCTACACTTTGGGTTCTTTTTGCTTGAAAAAGTTATTCAGTTGTACTCAGCAAACCGTTCGTGCAACATGCTGCTGATCGTTTCTTGACAGCTGAAGATGATCCCTTGCCCTATCATCAATCGCAAAGTCCGTGGCCCACACCCTGCGTACCAGGAGAGAAAGCCGATTGTTAGAGATGGAAGAACAGTTCGTAATGAAGCAGCACGAAGGGTATAAATCTTTATCTTTTATGCATTATCTTCCCAACATAACTCTTTCTGATACATCTTCCGCAAACAATCGATCGTTCCCGCATATTTCTCTCCTTTGGAAACCTCGACTGCCTGTAGGCGGCTTTTTGCTGTGTCGATGGGCTGATTTGCGAGGCTGCTGACTACGCCGGTGCCCATACCTAGGAATGAAGAAATATCAATATTTCAGGACAATCTTCAAAGCACAGCAAAACAAGTACTTAATATCCCAACCACAGCATCATCCTCAGGTTTGCCTATGAATAGCATTCCATCCGGAAAGCCACACAAGAAACCATTTACTCATAGTACTAGTCAAATACCAGCCAACAACAGCTGTATCGGCTTCGATATCATCGGTGTTTTGCCATCCCCACTCGCAGGTGTCAGTCTCTGGACTCCCATCTTCATTTGGTCGTACAGTGCAAAGCGGATGCCCATAGCAACTCCTTGCCTCGCTGCTGTCGGGACAAATCCCACGAAGAAGCCTCCTATGCCTTGGGTTCGTAGTAGTTCTCTTGCTGCTGCCGTCGTTGTTGATGGCGCTCCACCGGGACCACTGCCACGACTAGAGGACGATGAAATACTTGCTTGTCTCAACACTTTCAGCCTCTCCGTGGGCGTGACCCAGACTGCGGCTTCGATGATGCCTGCGCCAACACCACACAGGAAATTTGCGCTGCCAGAAGGGATCAGGGATTGTTGCGCGAAGAGAAACTTCAACTGCTCAAATGCCGCAAACCGAATGGCCGCTTTACAGCTTACTTGCGTCACCATAGGACCAAAGCCTCGGTAGAGAAGAGAAACGTTTGTGGAACTGGTGTTGCTGCCGGAAAGGTATGAAGGAAGCGTGTGCAAGACTGTGTTGATTGGTAACAAGAAAGCTAGTTTTGTTGGAAACTCGAAACGGTCTGCCATCTTCTGGATCTTCTAAGAGTTATAGGTATAACACACTCATCACCGACATTGCTTAAGGACATAGACTCAGGATATTCCGCGTCGTTCTCGCCGCACTTCGTTCACCAGTCAACTGCATTTGCGTTTTTATCGTATCTAGAGGCATGGTGACGGAAATCTCGCAGATCCCTGCTAAGCCACCGGCTGCACCTGCCAGAAAAGAGCTTTTCTTCGGCGCAGGTTTTCTCTCTGCCAGGGGGGCAGAGGGTGGGTCGGCTGCAGGAGCCATCTTTAAATCGATGTATTCTTCTTAGGTGAAAGTTTCACGAAATAGACTCGATGACCTAAGGTGGAAAAGCAGATGTTCAAATTGTTCAATGGCCTACACACGCCTTCCTAAAATGGGGTTAGGGCCGCACATCCGCTTTCTTGTTTGCAAAGCATTCTGCTGTTCAGCACATTAGTTTCGGATGAAGAGGCCCACGCCTTCCAGCTGTATGCTTGGACGGATATAACTGGCCCGAATGTGGTCGTTTTATGCACGGAAATTTTGGAATGTGCAATAATGCTAGGATTTGTCGTCAAATCATGAGAAAATCAAGTTCAAGGAGTAGTAGGAATTCGGTTTCCCTTGTACTTATCTAGACACGCTGTGCAAAAACCTTAGTATTGAGTAGTCGATTCGTTTCAGTAAAATAAGCAGCGAGCCTATGCAAAGAGTTGATCATAGTACCGTATTGTTATTGAGTTGAGTCATTATATATAATGTAAGTAGCTCTTAATCACAACATGATTAAACGAATCTAGTGGGGATAAGCCATTTTTCAGGCAGCTCCTTTTTACACTGGAGTGTTTGTTCTATTCATATCCTACTAGGATTCTCTCAATGTGACCTACTATCAACTGCAACGAAGCCAGTCTTTATCAGATAGTCTAGACTAGCAAGCCAGTTTGTTCATACTACAAAAAAAAGATCGTGCATGGTGACGAAGTCGTTTCTTAGTACACTTTTAAGTGTAGTAAAATGAAAGTTCAAAGAATCAATTCGATAGCAATAGTGTGCACCACGACCCTGCTTGTCGCCACTTTCGACGTTTCGGCCCCCATATCACTAATGCACACTACGTGATATCTGTGCCTCAAACTTCATCCATCTCATCATTCAAGTATTCGATCGAATAATCATCACCCGGTTTGGTTATTCGCATGGCTGGTTGGAGGTTGGATGAGCGACTTACTAGACTGGAAATATCCACCATTTGTCCACGCATAGCCGACTTGTAAATCTTAGCAGGCTTGTTCGGACTAGTTGACGCGCTCGGACTGGTCGGTGCTGGGTGTGTTGGGTTTTGAGACTTGTTAGTAGGTGTGTTTGTGACGTTGGAGCTATTTCCTCCCTGCTGAAGTGGTGGTTTTGTGAGATGGTGAGCGATAGCTGATGATGCTGTTGCGGTACCTGATTGTTGCACCTGCGGTAATGTTTTCCCCTGTGGTGCACCACAACCGCCAGTGGAATTGCTGGTCTTCTCAACAGCTACTTTTGAGGTATTAGCATTCATCTGCACGACCCGTTGTTGTTGCTGAGCGATGAGTTTCTCATGTCGGCTTTTTGGCTTAGTAGAAGCCTTGTGGTAATTCTCAGAGGAGTTATTGCTATTGCCAATCGGCTTTTTGATTCCAGACGACGACCTCCTTTGCTCGCTTTTAACCTGCTTGGTTCTAGAAGTACTACTCGTTTTTTGCTTACTTCTTGCAGCATCAGCAGAACTCGTCTTCGCCATGACGTAGTCTAGAAGAGATTTTTCCTTCGACTTTGGCCTTTCTTTAGAAGCAGTGGTATAGGAAGATGGGAAGTCATGTGCATTTGGTTCGTTCTTTATAAGTGTTGTTTCCTTTGAAGCCTCAGAACCTTCTCGTCGAAGTACCGGAACTTGCGCTGGTCGATCGTCATCTGGCATCATCGCAAAGTTGGTATCCATCACGCAAACATTTTTGTTGTTACTGTCCTCTTTCATGAATAATGCGCTGATGCGCGCATTCGTGAAAGGGCTATCTGGCCTCTGTAGTGGTTGTTCTTGTTCTTGCCTATTAGCGTTCCCATTTACGACAGCTACGATCACATCACCACTTTCGTATTCGTTGATACCAGACACGCCTCCAAGAAGAACATTGGCTCCTACTTCACCACCTTTGCTCTCACGCCCACCTCCAGACAGCCTCTGCCTTGGCGTCAGTCGAATACTCTTCGAATCTAGATGGTCTCCTACTATCAAATCCTCAGAACAAGGAGCTGCACCTGCACCAGCATTCTGCCAAAAATCTTCACTTGTTCTAGTGGTCTCCGCAGCACCTCCAGACCTTGCTCGAATCTCTACATGATCAGAACGGATTTTAGTGCTCCTCGTTACACCAGCATTTCCACCACCACCTCCACGACCGAACAAACCACCTCCCCTGCCACCAGCGACGAACCTTTTGCTTGTTTGGCGACTAGAGAGGGGGGCACCCGAAGACGTGACGGTCGTGGCATTGGACGAGACGCAGAGAACGGAATTAGGTCCAAGAAAAGGTCGATCAATAAACGCGTCTCCCGCTGCAGGTACAACATCATTCCCTCTGTCGGAAGCTCCTGCACTAGCACCCGCTATGATCATCCCCCCTCCTGTAAAGAGAGCCCTTCCCTTTCTAATTGACGCGACAGCGACACCACCAGCACCAAAGTTGTTGTAAACTCCCGCATAGTTGTTGTGATTCCTTGAAGATGATACACCGAAGCGCTCCAACCCTCTAGGCGTAGTTTTCACTCCTCGTGAGGCATACGCAGAAGCAGGTCTCGTCTCAAACCTGGTTCTTTTCACATTCAAAAAGTCTCGACACTCGACGTGACTAGATTGAGGTCTGGCTGAAACCTTGTTGTTCGCGACAGGAGCTTCGTTGAAGCTGTGAACTTTTTTTGCGGGCGGGACTTGAGCTTGGGCTTCATCTGGTTCTGGTGTCGTCTTTTCTTTGGTAGTTGTACTAGTCATCACACTAGTAAACCTCAAATCCTTGTTTTCTTCTCCTCCGCGAATTTTGCTACAATTATTTCCCTTCTTCACAACCTGTTCAGGCGAAGCCATGTCGTGGTCCTCCTCCACTGAGATAGAGGATTCTGACAGGTCTAATAGTGTAGGATATTTGTTGTTAGAGGTTGGAAGATCTGGGGAGTCTCCGAAAATTTCGATTTCTGGTGACGTTTGTTCGGAGAAAGCAGGAGGAACATCATCTTCTGGTGAAAGATTATCTGTTTCTTGTCCTCGTCCCCTGTAAATGATGCAGTCGACTACTTTCAGAGGAGTTGTTGTTAAACCTCGTGTACTGTTCTGTCGTGTACTGTGCTGTGTAGTGTCCTCAACGATGTCCATTTTCAGGACTCTGTTCTGCGTGTCTTGGTCCACGTGAGAATGGTCACTGCGTCCGCCAGGTGCGGTTTTAGGACGTTGTCTTGTCGGAGATGAGCAAGGGGTACTGCCACAACGCAGGTTTTGTCGGCTACGACCGAAAGTGGGTGTCTGTGCTAGAAAAACACGCCTCGAAGATGCTGCAGCTTGCTGCTCTTGATTTGCAAAGAATTGTGATGAAGGGGATTTTGCACTTGTTGCACTCGCAGCGGTATCTGCGAATGTACTAGTATGATGATCTTGCTTGACATTCGGCTGATTTTCCTGATCCTCCGATACACCTCGACGAGTAGTACGCTTTTTCACTGCTTGTTTCCCTGTTTTTGCAGCTTTTTTGCCTTGTTGTACTTTGAGGCAGTTTGCATCGAACTCTGATTCCTCGGCATTTGTATCGAACTCTACTAGGGCTTTCGATGGCGCCTTGCTGCCGCCGCCATTCCTAATACCCACTCCAGTAGATCCAGTCTCCCTGTTCTCCCCTGACGAAGCGCAACTCTTAATGTGCAAAGTGACATCGTCGTCCGTTGTTAGGCGACTGCGCTTAATGTCCGCCAAGTGTCTTGTCAACGGTGAACACCGGTCATGCCTTCTGATTCCAAAATGCGGCGTTCGTGCTAAGGGTGGCGAGCCTCTTGCTGTTGCTTAGAGAACGCTTGTTAAGTACACGCGAAAGAGCTGAAGAAATGTTGATATAATGCGTACTAGTTGTACTGCCTCTATCATAAAAACCGCTATCGCCTTGTTCCTTCCGTGTACCATTGCCACCATCATCGCTGTGTCTTGGAGCGCCTAGACCTACTACCATCTGCGTACCATCGCCGACCCGATTGTTGCCCTGAGTGCTAACCTTGACACCGTGAAGAAACGGAGTCGTGTGGCTTAGTCATTAGAGCTCTAATCTACAAAACTCCGGAACCTCTCTATCTACAAAACATCTGATTTTAGGTCACATAGATTCCAACCTTAACCAGCTTTTCCAGCAACAAGCTGTCCACTATCTCCGGCCGATGACGCTTGTAAGGAATAGGAGTGATCGTCCACCTCAGTAAGTGCAGGAGAGCTCTCTGAATGTAACAAACGGTGTTCTCGCACTTCGGCGGGCAAAAGAAAACCAAAATGTTGCTCTTCCAATGAAATAACGACTGATTCTCCTTCGATTGTAGGACTAGTGGGGGCACGCTCCGTGGTCGGGCTAACCGGGCCTGCTTCCACAATGCAGGTGGGGCTGACGGGAAGTGTCTCCTGATCGGGATTTGTGATTTTTTCTTCAACCGAACCAACGTCTTTGTGAGGAGCAGTATCATTATCGGCTAGTCCTGACGAAGCTCCAGCAGAAGAAGAAGTGACTGCTACAGCTGGGGCAGTTGTCCTAGTTATAAGAGATTCCATGACCTCATCAACTTTTGTCTTCGGTGCTTTAGTGTTTGATGACGAGTGACCCTCGAGAGAGCTGTCGGCTTTCTTTTTACTCTCCTCTTTCTGGGCGTCAGAAGCGAGTAAAACTTCCAGCGATTTAGTCTCCTCGGTATCTGCAGACGCAAGAGGAACGCCCTTGTCCTGTACTTGTAACGCCTCCGTCTTGGCAATCGTTTGTCTCCCGTCTTCGCCGGCGGCTGTACCTCTTCCAGCTGCGCGGATTGCCTCGGGCTCGGTAGTCGAGATCGCCTTAGGTACGACTTCTACTTTCTTCTCCGCGGCAGTATCTAGGCATGCCGGACGAGTCCGGTTTTCCGAGACTCGTCCGGCATGACTAGATACTGCCTTCTCCCTGACAGCGCTTGCACTCCCAGCACCCTTAGCCGGGACCACTGGCACCGTGGTCTTGAGCCCTTCGTTCGACTGCGGAGCGACGGGTCGTCGTTGGATCGCCAGACGCGCACGGTCCAGATTTATCCGGTCACGATGTAAAGGACAAAACATTTTTTCATACAGAAACACAAATCATCCCGCTTCTACAGTTTGTCATTTCTTGTTTGGAAGCGCACTTTCTCGCTTTCCTTCTTCCTACGCGCCAGCTTTTTGAAACCAGAAGAAAAAACATTCCTCTCATGCTTCGCTACCAACTTGTGTTCAGAAAACCGGAGAAAAAAATTAGTGCGCTAGCACGTTTTGATGTCATTGCGGTGCTTCACCCGCAATACCTCTGTACATGACAGATAACGACCTATTGCTTCCTGATCATAGTTGTGTCGATTTCTCATGAGGCGAAAGCATCATGTCCCTATTCTCCTGTGCAATTCCTGTGCTGCAATAGCATCCAGTATCAAATTCTATGTCCTATGTCATAGATAGTAGGATATGAACTAGTACGCTCTTGACGGTGCATGAGTGTGTTCCTGCTAGGCATAATATTAGTTTCTTGTTGATGTTAGTTAGTTAGGAAGTTTAGAATGGTTACGAATTACGGAAATAGTTGGATAAGGTATTTGATAAAAGTTTACGTGATGTTGAAGTTAGTTCATTTATGAATTCTTCGTGTATGTAAGTGTGAATATAGTTGTGATAATGTCAGAGCGAATAAATGTTTGGTATCTACTACCGTGATAATTTCGATCCACGTCTTACCTTTTAGGAATTTGAATGCGTGACGATCATTAGCATGAGTTTAAGTTTTTACGTTGAATTATGTGTGATCATGGGGTCGATCGATGAGGAAAATATGGGTGGTGTTATGGTTGTGTGTTGATGCTAAATACTTACGATGATATTCTTATGGGTATGACAGAAAAAATCAATCAATGAATTTAGGACTGCGATAAATCTTCTCCCTCTATGCATGGTACTTCTAAATTACTGCTTAATCCGTCTCAGGAGCAAGCATCTCAACTATCTCATCAAACTGCTTCCGCCGCTTCTCTTCTGTGTATATCCATCAAAGCCTGTCTTAGAGCTATATCGCGCGACGCATCCCTGAGCACAACTACCTGAGCCTTTTTTCCCCTTGGAAATTATGAGGCCAAAGTAGATGGCGCTGAGGATGCTTCAGCTGTTGTAGCCTTAACTGTCTCGTTTCCGAGTATTCGTCGTCTTCATCGTCGTCGTCATCCACCCCCGTTGTCGCGAGCAACTGGTACACGTCTCTTCCTGAATTGGACAGGAAGAAATGCTGGTTCAAAGTCACTAGAAACTTCGAATACAAGTGCATCACGAGTCGGAGGAAGAAGAGGAAGAGGTTGAATTTCCGCACGTATTCTGCCACGATGATCAGGACGAGGCCGACAATAGTGGCCACGGAGAATCGTCCCATCCATTCGTACTTTGTGATGTGAGCTCCTCGGCAAGCCAGCACGCCAAGTGCGTAGTAGCACATTGCGAAAGTGAATTGCGCAAAGAAGATGCCCCGCGATATGAAAGGGAGGAGAGAAGTGGGTAGGATAGGCGGAAAGAAGTACGGTCCAAGAGGTAGAACAAAGAAGGAGAGAAGAGATAATCACAATCAACGAGAGAGATGAAAAACTCCATTCCATGGAGTCTGTCAGTCAAACTCCATTCCATGGAGCCTATCAGTCGCGAACGTAGTACTAGCATCTACGAAAACCAGATCATCTTCAACAAGATATTTATTATAGATACCATCCTCTTCATAAAAAACACCTGGCGCATGACTTCGTCATCAGCTCCCTTCAGTCCCCACAGCTCCATCCCGTTGTGGTACATCAGTCGCAGATACATTGTCATCACTAGGAAATCCAGAGACAACAAGCACAAAAACAGAATCTGATGTCGGGAATACAGGACCTCCAAGTCCGACATCTGATCAATCAGGACGCCGTCTGATTGGTGCTCCACATTGAAGAAAGTCGCAGGACTGATCCGCCTTGGTGCGCGTTGCTGGCTTTCGAAACGCTTTTTGGGGATTAGACAGAAAAGATCAGGGTTTGGATACTTATGAGGAAGCATGCCTAGACTAAATGACCTGAGTCTGGTCATGTACGACTTTCTGATGGAAACGATTCAGGTCACCAACTAGGTGCGAAAAGGAAAACTCGAGTTCAGCCATAACAGTATCCGATTCGTTATCCTGTCGAACTCTGACCTGTATCCGCCAAAATATGCCAGAAAGCTCGTCCCGTCCGGTGCTTGTACGCCTAAAAGTTTTGCTTCGTCAATGACTAAACTTTTCGGTCTGCTAGAGAAGTCGTCTCCGTCATCCTTCTTCGACGTCGAGGCACCAGTGGCGTTACTCAAGGTATCTACGATCGAGCTGATAGCGGATGTATTACTAAGATTTGACCGTCTCGAACCATGCAGAGCATCGATGTCGATTTGAATCGTGCCGTTTTGTGATAGGAGGTTGTTACAATTGTTGTCGCCGAAAAAACCTCCGCCACCAGTGGAAGGCGCTAAAGGGTCTACAGAGCTCGGACTGGTGCCTGGTCCAGAGTTGTTGCCGTGGGTCGTAGTCTCCTGCGTAGTATTTGCAGTATTTGTATTTGCTGCCACGCGATCGTTAATCCTCAAAGGCCTGTATCCTTGTGTTTGCGCAGTGGAATCGTATCCACTCGACGACCCGAAAGATCCGGACAGGAATAGCGAAGCACCTGGAGAGGTTCATGGTCGTTATTGTTTTACTCTACTTCTTCGATCAGGAGCCGACTAATGACGGCGTAAATCTACTCGGCAATCTGCCTAAGATTTCCCTGACGAATTCGACCCGCTAATAATACTCGATGAAGATTGAATAAAAAAATCACGAAGAACAAATGAACTACCCGTCGTCTCCAATTCCACTGATCCTGGCATGGTTAAATCTTCCTCGTCCACGTCTGGTGCTAGCTGAGTCGTCAACTGTTCTTTTAAGAAATCACTAGATCGTGGATCCTCAGGGTCTCGAAGATAGGTCACTCCTCCGTGTACTAGGAGGACTTCTGGTGCTGTGTTCCCAGAGGTTTCTGCAGACGAACTAGAAGAAGAAGAACTACTTGGTTCAAATAGTTGTACGGAAGACTCTCGATAATAGAAATCCCTCGACGAAGATGTGTCTTCACCAAATGCGCCACCACGGGATGGAGCTCTCCGACGATGCTCACCAGTCTTTTCAGACCTAGTATGTTTTGATGGACTAGTGAAAGTAGAACTACTTCTGCCAGCACTTGTATTTCCACCTCTGTAGGTAGTTGTTGTTGGTTGAGCAGAGAAGCTATTCGCCGATTGTTCGTATCCAGATATATACAGCTCCGAAGCACTACCAATAGCACTAGCACCAAGCGAACTGCTTGAAGATGGAAACCTAGTACTACCAGTAGACGTGGACAAAAATCCTCCAGTAGAGAGATGCCCTGCGGTGCCTTTACTGTCTTCTCGGTCTTCAAAACGGTCGTCGAACAGGTCGTCGTCCAAAAAGAAATCAAGGGGACCCTCCATTTTGCATCCTCTTTAATCTAAGTATACTTGGGAGAGGAAATCAAGGGGACACTTGGGAGAAGAAAGGTAGTTGTTATAGTTAGGACACTTACAACATAGTGCCGATTGAGATGTTTTTACTCAGCCAAAGGGTGGAGAGAGAAATATGCAGCAGATGCAACAAATGTCTTTATATGCAAGTGTATGAACTATGTTCGAAGTATAGGGATCGTTGAGAATGCGATGCCTTTTCTGGGATAAATTTCTACGAATTTTTCGTGCCCATGGAGAGCTACGGTGATCCTCTAAGAGTGTTTGTGTTGAGTTCGGTGTTTGATGTTCGTTGTCACGGAGTGCTTGATAAACATTGAATGATCGATGTTCAACATTGCTTAATCTATCGTTGGAAACACTCATGCTGTAAAAACTTAGACCAGTCAATGAAAGACGAAAAAAAAACCTAATTGCTGAATATGGGCTCGCTGGTGGTATTGATCTCAGGTGCAATAGGGAGTGCGGTAGAGATGAGAGGTGACCGAGAAAGACAGCATTTCTTGACGTAGACCGACCTGACACATGAGTATTCATCATGAAAGCGATCCTAACAGAATGACCGAGAGTCGCATCAACCGATGTCGATATCACGTCTCACTTAAGAAAATCTTCGACGCAAGGCGCGTGTTCGTCGTGCTATCTCCAAGCTCTGTAAGTTACTCGAAGATGATTCATATTCGCAAATCAGTTCGAAACAAAATTTCAAGAGTTTGAAGATCGATCATTCTTGCTGTGCACGTTACTCAGACAAATGGATGCAAAACTAGATACTCACTACGGATGCAGCAATACTTTGCAAATATATCTATGACACACTAAGCAGAATTTCCGCTCCAGAAGATGTATGATCATACGAACGTTTGACTACTTTGACTTTCATCACTGTGGTGTACTCATACGATGAGTGATTGCAAAAAGTTCAGAATTCTTGGAACTAGGCTTACGTCAATAGGACTCCTTTTTTATACTCATCGTTTTTCTTACTATATCACTGCACTATACGGATGCACTCCCCTACTAATACTTCTATCATCATATGGTCTACCAGCGTATCTGTCAGAACCACTTACATCTATAATAGGTGGGCCCTCCGACAAAGTCAACGTCCCATCTTGTCCGACGTGGCTGTCCTCAAACATGCTGGCCATAAGGAGTCTAGAAGTCTCGTCATCGTTCCCATTTGCTCCCCTGCTCGACAATTGTGAGTCGTCTTCAGCAAGCCATTCATGCAGCGAAGGAGCGGGAGTTGGCTTAGAGCTGGCAGACGCGGACCCCAATATATTATTAAGCTATACTTTTTCATCTTTTTAAAGTGTAAAAACTGTAACGCGCGCGCGCGCGTTACGCGCGCGGGTTACGCGCGCGCGCGCGTTACGCGCGCGCGTTATAACGCGTTACGCGCGCGCGCGTTACGCGCGAAATAAGGCGCGCGCGTTACATG